AACGCTACTATATTTTTTTGGTACTACAAAAATAGTTTTGGTTAATAAAATTAAAATTTTTAAAGTAAAATATTTTCGGATTTAATACTCACTTGTTTCCGAAGTGCAAGCTGTACTAAACGTATAAGATACTGCCAATATTCCACTGTTTGATTAAATAATAAAATTGAAACTAATAGATATTATGTAAAACTTATGATAATGTACTCCAGACTTACGATAAATGTGGATACCAATCTGCACTGCAAACAAATCGATTTTGACTCTTAGCAATATCTGCAAAACAAAATATTTCCTCCAATTCTGGAGTAATATAGACATCCACCGGATCACCTTGCATTAGGGTGTAATCATTTCTAAAAAAATAAGATCAAAAACTTTAAGCAAATATAAAATAATATTATATAAGAACAGAGGATTATATAAGAGTAGTGAATTGCAAAAACAAAAATTTTTTATTATTTTTAATTAGTTGAATTCTTGGTTGACCATACAGCTGTTTCGAATATTGTCAAATATCTATCAACGGTGGTCTTAAAATTATATCTTTTGTATAATTATGCGTTAATTATATTTGAGACTACAACTACCAAGAGTTGAACCCATACGCTGCCAGAGCTCAGAGTCAGTGTTCATTAAAAAACTGATCCAAAACCGTATTGGACTCGTAGGTTTAACCTTGAAGTTTTATGAATTTGCTGTGAAAGTTTTTATTAACAAATTAACTTGCTGTGTTTATATTAGAAAGAAATCATAAACCGAGCTGTAAAATTAATTAATTATAGTTATAATCGTACAATTAATCGTAGAGATTTAATTTTAGCAATGTAAAATTAACTTTTTAAACCTTATGTATTATGTATTACCTATACATATCCACTTGATTAAATTCTAGAGTGCTTAATAATAATTTCATTTGAGGAGACATTTCTGGCGGCGGTTTAGGTACAACTACTTCTGGAGATGCCGGTCTGCTAGTTTGAGCTTTTTCTTTAGCCTCTTCATCTTCGGAGGAAACATCTAAGTCTATATTAAAAAAAAGTTTGGAAGTGAATTTTTAGTTTAAAATCATTATATAGAATATATACTTCTAGAACTGCTAAAAAATCGGTACAGTAAATATAATAGTAAAATACAGAAAGGGAAAAGAACCTTAACTTTTCTAATATTTTCTTAAAGTTAAACTAAATATTAATTATTCCTTAATGTCCTTAAGGAATTCCTTAAGGTATTCCTTAAGGTTTTCTATGTTATGTATGTAACACTAATTTAATAATACATCTAGAAAAAGAAACTATGAGGTTCTTAAAAAGAACTAATATGTTATGAATTTTTAATTAAATGTTAATTGGTCATCTTAGCTATGTCAAAAAGTGTTCTGATAAAATAACATGTATTTAACAGTCATTATATATATTGTAAAATATATATAATATTATTATATTAGGAATGGTTTTAATATCATATATAGTAATTGCTATTTCTTAAAGTTACAATAACTTAACTTATGATAAAAACTCCATTCTTATTGTTTAGCTTAAATAGATGTAGCTTGTATTAAATCGATTTAATTTAGACCTTTGAGGTCTGATGCATTATAGTTTAATCGTAGATATCGCCATACACCATCTGGGTATATTGATATTTAATACTGCCAAATTTCTGAAACAACCAAATCCGGTAGAGATTTAAGTAAAGTCTTCTATTCTAAGCAACTTTTTCCACAGTGTTCTATGCCGACAATCTCCGGTAGATATTTAAGTGAAGTCTACTATTCTACACTATATTCTACACCGACAAAGTTTAGCTCTCGAGATATCGAAGTTAAAAGTTGCCGCTAACAATTAACAACAAGTATAGTATAATTGGTTAGAATAGATGACTTTACGTAAACTCATTGCCAAATTGGAGCGTCCTTAAACTAGAAATCCTACTTTAGTTAATTACAACTTTTACTATAATGCACCTATTTGTACTATTTACTATTTGTAAATTTTTGTTCATAGAAAAGAAAACTTACCATCTTCCTCTCCAATCTCATATAAATATTGTGTCCACATATTATTCGGAAAAGTAGGATCAGTAAGTTGTTCACGATCAATAAGTTGTGGTGCAGATTGTATACCAATTGTAATACGTTTTCTGGTAACATTATCGAACTTAACCCCTTCAGGTGGTATTAATTCCACATAACCATCACGTGTGTCTGCACATTTACGAAATGTGAACTCTTTGTTTTTTGTTATAGTTGGGGGATAAACACTTTGTATTTCCACATCGACTGGTTTAATATAACGTTGCTGTAATGTTAGATTTATTTCATTTTCGCTACCTAATGATACCCAACGCTTTGGTTTCTTAATTTGATGTTTATGAGCAATCCAGTCTTCATATAATTCAATACTATGTATAACAGACAATGCTAATTTAGTATCCTGAGAATCGAAAAATATAACAAATGGATCAGCTTCTGTTTGATGTTCTGAGTTTTGGGTCAATAATGGCGCATAACCAATCAATACATAATCTTCAGGATTAAAATCTTGAAATGCCGCGTATAATGCTGGACCTTTATCAACATAATCAATTAAACTATCACGTATATATTCATATTTAAGTTGCTTCCAAGGAAATCGTTGGTTAACATTTATACCAACTACAATATCCAACACCGTTTGTACTTCTGGTCTATGAAATAATGGATTAACAATTATTTATGGTATTTAAAGTTAATTTTTATATATATTTTTATATATATTACCTGATCATTATGAGTTTGCAACTTGGCAAATTGTATATATAATTGAGTGCTTCTTCGACATCATATGTATGAGCCTCAAAATCATCGTCTTCCGATTGAGGGAGCGCCCACTCCGCAATACCTGGTTTTGGTAAACTTAAAATAACCAATAAATTTAATAAGACTTTTGAGATCATGGATGACTTTAATTTACCAGGTAAGCTGATTTGGCAATGGATTTTAGGAGGTCAACTTTTTCCACTATGCTATATGTTTATATAATTTACTTCTCAAGATATCGAGAGAAGTTAATTGAGACGCTTTCTACCATAAACTAGTATATGTAGTTTTGGCGCAGATTACACAAACGATGGATAACAACAAATAGACATCCAATTGTCATTATATCAAATGACATTAACTGCAAATCGCTACATTTAATAACTAAACGTTATTGTTATACAGCGTAATGGAAAAAGTTGTTTACAATAACTTTTTCTAAAATTCGTTATCAAATAGGTGTGCCCGGAAAATTGATATCAAATAGAGATCATATATTATATGATATATTATAAAAATTGAATTAATGATATGTATGCTCTTACCTAAAAAGATTTGATGCATTCTCTTCCTCTTCTTCTAAGGCCGTTTGAGAACCTGATTCTTCCATTATGCTTTATTAATATTTATTTTCAAATTTAATTCTTAGTATATGAATTTTCATTAAATATTAAGTTTTTATTTAATTTACTTGACAACAAAATATAAACACAATATTTAATATGTCTATGGCAACAATATCAAATAAGTTTGAATAAATAAATAACAATCAAGAAAGTAAATATGTTATAAAAATTAAAAACTTAAAAAAATTGACATTGGAATAATTGATCTGAAACTAATTATGTTACATATTTTGAAGGTTTAATTTATTTACTGTAAGAGAATGTTTATTTATTGTAAGAGTTTAAAGATAATAATTTATATATTAAGGGCATTACCTTAGCAATGGCAAGAATGAGTTATTTATGCATTGTTGTATTAAATATCAGTTTACTTTTTTGCTATTAAAATCAATTTATTAAAATTATTATAAGATACATAACATCTAATGTGATAGTTACATTGAACTAAAATTTTAAATATATTTATTTGTATCGTAACTAATCACTAACTAATGTTAATACAAAGAAGCTGAATTAGATTAAATATATTTGATAAAGCCACAAAATCGAGCCAACTTATCACAACTGAATAACTGCATTATAGACGTTTCCACTGGCTTTGTTAGACCAGTTAATTTACTTGAGATTCAAGTACTTCAAGCAATCTCAAGTAAATTAACTAGTCTAACGATATCAGTAGAAAAATACTATTGGATTGAGAAGTAGTAGAAGTGATATAAATTAGAATCAATATATTAAAAATGGAAATATTTTATATAAGATTTTAAAACTAAATATACCATTTCATGCATATCTTATATTAGGTCTGTTCCACAAGCTACTCGTAGTAAAACTCAAGTAAAACATAAGTAAAGTACAAACTGAGAGCGTAAGTAAGCATAAGCAAGTAAGTAAGTAAGCATAAATTACGCTCTTTATGGTGAGAACAACAGTGCCGCGTAAATAAACAATACAAAAATTCAAACAAAAACAGCTGATTCATACATCACAGAAACACAAATTTTAGTTTAAATAAAATGCACCAATAAAATCTGTGTAACATTTTCAAGTTTTGACAGGGATGTTACGCTCTCTCAGGTGTACTTGTGTATACAAAGTGTTATTCAAAGTTACAACGAGTAACTCGTGGACAGACTTATTGTCTGTATGAGACAAGTAATTGCAATCTTGATTGTAATTTTACACATTTAGCTCGCTTCATTAGAAACCTATTCACATAGCAAATCTTAATTTTATTTTGATATATGTTTTTGTAGTTGCGCTCGTATATCCATAAAGAAACGTGTAAAATAACAATTAAATGTGTTTCGTGAATAAGTACTTATATAAATAATAATAAATTATTCTTCATAAATTTGAGTTTTTAACGAAAAAATGCCACAAATTGTTTCTTTCTTTTCTCTTCCAAATTTTTAAGTTGAATTCTTTAACTATTGTGAATAAATAATTGTGAATCATTACCTGGCCCCCTAATTTGGCGCTAGGTGTCGCCATTCAACGAAATGATTAATGTATTCTATCCTTCGACTGTGCGTTATTGATGTGAAAAATGTTTTATTGAATAGAGAAATAAAGTAATATTAAAATAAAATCCTTTTAAGAGATATTAAGGTTTGTCTCTGCAGTTTTATTTTTTTAATTTGCTAAATACTAAATCATAAACATCCGCTTAATAAAACATATAAAAGAATGCACGATACGTAATGAAAATTATTGATTTTTTTGCTATTGACGTAGCTGCGAATTTTTGCAAAATATTTAAAAAAAATTAAATTTAATCGCAACGAAAAATATTTAAGTTTATTTTATTGATATGTAAATGCATAACCATAAATATTAAGCAAAAAATATAATAACTTAAAGCGAACTGGTGACATCATCAAATTGGTAAAACTGAGACAGCGCCTAAGCTGACTCTGACAGTGAATAATAAGTTTTCATTTGGCTTAAAGAATTTTACAAGAAATAATTGTTTATAGTGTTTATTTTCTTTTTAATATTTACAGATAATAAAATAAAAACCATTGTAAAAAACCAATTGGAAGATTTTATAATAAAATCGCATCTAACAAAATGGATCGTAAAGCAGAGTTGGAACGTAAAAAAGCCAAATTGGCTGCTTTACGTGAAGAGAAAGACCGTAGACGACGTGAGAAAGAAATGAAAGATATGGAAGAAGCGGCTGGCCGTATAGGCGGTGGTATTGGTGTTGATAAGGATCAACGGAAGTATGTTTAAAAATATATATTTTTTACAACTAGTTTAAAAAATACGTTCCATAAATTTTTTACAGAGACTTAGATGAAATGTTGTCCTCTTTGGGTGTAGCACCTGTTTCTGAAGTATTATCTTCATTGTCTTCTGTCACATCTATCACTTCAGATAATTCAAATACACAAACGCCGGATGCAAGTCTGCAAACCAATATGAATGGCGTAAAGAGGGAAATTTTTGTTTTCTATTTTGTAAATGCATATTATATTAATTATTTTTACAGTGGTAGCAAGAAAAATTCACTTAATCTTAGCATCTATAATGTGCAAGCCACAAACATTCCACCTAAAGAGATGCTTGTTTACTCAAAGCAAACACAAACCAACAGTACTGGAGGTCATGAACGTGATGGTTGGTATATTCTGTTAAGTGCTTAGTTATGTATATATAAATATATAAATATTTAGTTGCTATTTCAGTTTAATTGCTTCTTCAATGTGTTTTTGTCATATGTCTAACCTATGCTTTTCATCCAATTTTTACTTTTACAAAGAATGTTTCTATAACTCTTATTAAATTCAACTATATCTATCTATGTTTCTATCTTTAACATAATTAAAGTTCTATATATATATAAATAAATTACCTAATTTAATTAAAAGAAAAGTTTCTGAAATCTATAATTCTTATTAAATTCAACTATTTCTTTAATTTAACATAATTAAAGTTATATATAAATAATTTACGTAACTTATTTAAAAGAAAAATTTCTGAAATTTCTATAACTCTTTCAAAAAGTAGTGAATTACAACAACAAAAATTCTTTTTATATTGTTTTAATTAATTGAATTTTTGGTTGACCATACAGCTGTTGGCCAAATACCCACCTTCAGTGGTCTTGGAATTATTTCTTTAATAAATCTTAAATAATTTTATGAGACGTAAGTACCAAGGACTGAGCTCGTGTTCTGCTAAATTTGAAGATGAGAGTATATTATTAATTAAAATAATATAAACAGAATTTTTGTTGTTGTAGTTCACTACTTTTGGAAACCTCATAATTAAACTTATTTATGAATATTTCACTGAATTTAATTAAAAGGAAACCCCGATATTTTAACAAAACTATATCTATTATTCATTGCATGTTTTGTTTATCTTCATTGTAGAAAGACAAATATCCTCTTATTCTTAAATTAATATATATGAAATTCAAATATATATAATTTTACTACTACATAGTAATAAATTTACATTATAATAGTGAAAAATTATAGATAGGTTTGTTCTTTCAAACTACTAACCTTATATGTTGTTACAAAGTTTTTTTTTTTCAAATCCCACCTAAATATATTGTTTTTTAAATTCTTTATTTTTATTTTTTATTGACTATTTAAGTTTATATTATTAAATTTTATTTTCTAAACATTTTACAATGTGTATTATAGTTTTTCTTATAATCAACAGTTATTGCTTTAAAAAAAGTGAATCTTGAGTTAGGTAACTAATTTAGTAATGATATATATTTATATCATCAAACAGTCAAGCTGCTTTGAAATTCTTGAGTTCATTCCAATTTACAATTAGACTTATATTTAGTGGATACTACGGTATCGGTGCTGACAGGTCACAGCGTATTACAAAGACAAGCTATGTGACTGAGTTTTAATCTATAATGACTTTTGTCTGAGTGGTGATGTCTGCGAATGGGGACAAAACTATATTCCACCTCATGTGTCAGTGTCCATTATTAGTTAAAAAAGGATTCAAAATATTTGGATCCCCTTTCCCTACTGACCTGACAGAGCTATCCTCCTGCAAATTTTGGAACTTTGCCAAGCTTATAGGCTTGTTAGGTTAGTACATTTTCATTTGGAGTGTAGTCATGCAATCAAACTATCTTATTGTATAACGAACAATTAAACACAAATCGAAATGTATCTACGACATTTGTACTCATGTTAGCCCTTCTTAAATAAAAAGAAATTTAGTAATTTCATTCAGATGTCCGATAAAGTCTACTGTCTAAAGTCTAAAGCGAGTCTACTGATGGCTTATAGTAGACTGTTAAATAGATAATATCCATGCTATAAGGAAGAAATGTTAGATGCGCCAAATCTGCTTTGTCAAAGCATAGCTCCAACGCGATGTAGATTAAACATATCAAGCAATTACTTTCCAAAGAATCTTAGCTACCAGGTCTCTTTCAAAACACTACCTTAAATTTTATTAAAAATTCCAAATGGTTTTAAACTCATCGAATTTTGTGTGGTACTACAATAGATCAAAATGTCCTAAGTGACACCTTAGAATCGTCGCTATTACTTAGCCAGATTTAATATTTTATTAGAACATTTTACATAAAAATAATTTCTTTAACATTTATTACATATTTTTATTTAAAAAAAATATATATATGTATATGGATATAAAATATATAATACATATAATAAAACTCAAACACTTCTGTAACATTTTCAAATCACACAATATTAATGATATAACCTATGAAAGCACACAATTAAACTGTTAATGCATTATTAAAAAATATTTTACATTTTTAAAACTCTGAATAATTTTTCAATACATACAACATAATCAATATATTATAATAATATATAAAAATACACAATTTATATTGCAAATACATTTATTTTGATTATTAAACTCTATATAAATTTTCAATAACCGAAATTATTTTAAAAACAATTTTTGTTGTGTATTTACCATATAAATGTATTAATTATTCATATTATAGTATATACAATGTATATAAACAAAAAATATTGTTTTATTAGTTCCAATCTTCTACATTTATAACGAGTGTCCCCCCTCTTGTTTAAGCTGTTCCCCCATAGTTTCAGTATCCATTAATCATTGTTAAAATATTTTTAAAAATTAACTGAAAATTATAATGTAATAAAATAACAAATTTAGTTCTTTCTTGCCATTCCTCACCTCTGTCAGGATATATGGAGGATTGGTGGAGACCACGTAAAGGTACTAATATACTAAAAAAATATAAATAAAATGACTAAAATATATATAATTAATATTTTTAGCAACTTTCATACATTCTGCACATAATATTGAAGAGCAATTTATTTATTTAATGTTTTATAAAAAAAAAAATAATAAATTATAATTTAATATTTTATTATTATAAAAATATTTAAATAAACAGTTTATTTAAAAAACTAATCGATTATTTAAAAACTAATACTTATAATAAAAAAAAAATTAATTTATTTTTATAATATATAATTATAATTTTATAATATATATAATAATTAAATCATATCTGTAATTAAATATATATTTTTATGTTTTTTTTATTATATTTTTAATATTATAAAAATATTTAAAACAAACAATTTTTGCAAATTGATTATTTAAAAAACTAATAATATAATAAAAAAAATTATTAATTTATTTTTATAATATATAATTATAATTTTATAATATATATAATAATTAAATCATATCTGTAATTAAATATATATTTATATATTTTTATTTATTTATGGTTTTATTATTATAAAAATATTTAAACAAACAGTTTTTGCAAATCGATTATTAAAAAACTAATACTTCTAATAAAAAAAATTATTAATTTAATTTTATAATATATAATTATAATTTTATAATATATAATTATAATTTTATAATATATATAATATATAATTATAATTTTATAATATATATAATAATTAAGTCATATATCTAATTAAATATATATTTTTATGTTTTCATTATTATAAAAATATTTAAACAAACAGTTTTGGCAAATCGATTATTTAAAAATTAATAATTATAATAAAAAAGTTATTAGTTTACTTTTATAATATATAATTTTTGAAATATATTTCTAATTAAATATATATTTTTATGTTTTTATTTCTAGCTCATGCAACGGACTATTATGGTAAGTTTAATTGTTTCTTGTTTGCTTCAAAGAAAATGTTTTGTGTTTCTTTGTGTGTAGCGTAGTTGTTAGTAATTAATTCAAAAAAAAAAAAAAAATATAAAATAATTTTTTTATATTGTATAATTCATGTTACTTTAATTTTTAGTTGTTTTTTGTTTCGTTTTATTTTCTTTAAATATATATATTATAATAAAACAAAAAGTCAGCACTTCAGTTAGTTGTGACTTTCTTAATTTTTTATGTAAATATTAAAACACACTCTTCTCCACCCATTTTATAATTGGTAAATATATATATTTTTTAATAATTATTATTTATTAATTTTGTTAATTTTACTTCTTTGCTAGAGTTTAATTTCTAGAAGTAGGTTTTCGTTTATATCTTAAAAATAATTATTGAATTCGTATTATTACATTTAATAATAACTGATAATGATATTTTAAGTTAACTATATTTTAATTATATTATAAGTTCTTTTTAATTAATATAATTTTATATATATAAACATTTTATAACGATGTTAAACAGCAGAGACTATTTACTCCCATTGGCAAACATTTGTTCAAATTGTTTCACATAAATATTGTGTGTTTCTAATGCTCAATCGCAAAATGAATATTGCATGTTCACTTATTATTCTATTATTAAACTATAAAATTTGTTTTATTTAAAAATTCATAAAAAAATTAAAATTTATAATTTTTATAAAAAATTTTATAATAGAATTAAAAAAAAAATTGCTTGCAAGTTAAATTGGGGATTTCCTAAATTAGTTGATTTTCATTAAAAACAAATTTTTTTCTAATATCTATGACATTAAATTTGCTAGTTAAAAACAACAACAAAAAACTTCATTTATTTTCTATTTTCAAGATGAGTACAATCTTAATCCGGGTTTAGAATGGGAGGATGAATTCACAGGTAGGTATCTTTTGCCATTGAACAGTGAAGAAGGAATCGACATGAAGCAAAATAGGAACGTTTGAATTCATTTTGAATATTATTTAAAATGATCTTTATCAAAATTAACTCTATTTTTTTTTATTAAATAAAACAATTCAAAATGTTTTTCACCAAACTTATGAAGGTGAAATTTCGGAAAATTAAAAACAAAAAAAAAAAACAAAAATTAATGAAAACAACCACGCAACACTTTTCTCAACTGGCATTTACTGCGCTTTTGTATTGTTTTTGTATTTGTCAATTATAATTTTCCGTGTATTGTCTATGGTTTGAGTTGCTAAATAATTTTAAGTACTATTATTATTATATACTATTTATATATACCACATGTATTCTAACTACTTGAGAAAGCTTTTCATTTAAATTTAAGTTCTTAATTTTCTTTAAAGTATGCTAAATTTATACAGTCTATTAAGTAGAGGCGCTCATAAAGGCACATTCAAAAACATAGAAATATATATTTTTAAATATATTTCTAAAAACATAAAAATAAAGTTTTAAGCATGCTAAAGTGAAAAATCTGTTAAATAGAAGTCCTTATGAAGACACCGAAATGTGGAAATATATATACATATTTATAAGAATATTTCTAAATACATAGAAACAAAGTTTTAAGCATGCAAAAGTTATACACCGAAAAGTCTTATATAGTAGCACACCCAAAAACATAGAAATATATATATATATATATATAAATATATTTCTAAATACATAGAAACGAAGTGTTAAGCATGCAAAAGTTATACAGCAAAAAATCTATTATATAGTGGCACACCCAAAAACATAGAAATATGTATAAATATATTTCTAAATACATAGAAACGAAGTTTTATGCGTACGAAATTTATTCAGCGAAAAGTCTGTTAAATAGATGCTCCCATAAATTTAAAAACATAGAAATATATATACATATGTATATAATAATTATAATTCTTATAACATAGAAACAAAGTTTTGATCATTTACTTTAAATATTTGTATATATTTACTATAATTCAATTATTATGAAATAAAAATTGATAAAATATAGTAACCAGTTATCCCTTCTAGTCGTGCAATATTGATAGTCCCCAGTTTTCATTTTCGTTCTTTTAACCAGACTGAATTGCTGATCCCGTTGGTATCCGTTTAAAAGAACTTGTTATAATTAATTAATTATTGTGTAATATATCTTCATTCCAATCATTTATGCAGTTAAAACTGTGTTAAACGAACATTCTCATAAAGCGATATCGCTCTGTATTGTGCCATGTTGCTTGTCCCCGGTTTTCATTTTCCATACTAATTTCCTACTTTTGTTCTTAATTCTTAATGGAGCAGAGTTGCTTAAAGCTTTGGCTGTATATACTATTCTTTTATTTATTGCTTTCACATGAAAGAGTTAAAACTGAAAGGCTATTCTATAATATATATGTAAAATACGCTTACTATATTCAGAAACTTATTAAAGTTATGAAGAAAATATATATCGATGTTGTAAAACATTAGTTGATCATCAGAGATATTGTTTAGGTAGATATGTAGTTCTATTGTTCTCCTTATGAGTGAATTCCTTAGTTGCCAAAAGGGTTCCATTACCTCACCACTATTGCGAGCTCTTCTAGATTTTCTGTAAAGCAGTAAATGTTCTTCAGTTTATATAGGAAGATCATATCCAAACACATTGTTTGTATCATTGACTAGTGACTAGTATAAATAAACATAATGTCAATAATATATTTCTTTAACAAATCAAATTGTTACATTTTTTTTAATACATTATTAAATATTCTTATGAAAGCTTCATATAACTAAATAGTATCGATAACATTTTTTACTAGTCAAAATATATCACATACCTTAAATGAACGAATATTTTAATTCATTTTGATACATCAAAGTTTATCTTTATATTAATGCAGTAACTCACTATTAATATAGTTAATATAGTTAACTCACTATTTTACTCAGTGAATATCAGATTACTTGGCTTTATTTATTTAACCCATTATTTATTGAAGGGATCAGCTTATAAATCTTTATTGAATTTATTACTAGTTATTTATATTTAATAATTCATTAAGGCGATCCGATTATTCATATTCATCGAGTTTACTCGTTACTTAATTTCTATGGTTAGTTGAGGTAATAAGATCATTGATCATTGAATAAGATCACTGAGATAACACGTTATTTTTATTTAATTATTTATTAAAGTGAGTAAATTATTTATATTCATCAACGTAACTTATTTCTTTGGTCCAATAGTTATATGAACTCATCACATTCTCTAGCTAAACCGAATTAACTCATTCTTTTAATCCAATAATGATCACATTATTTATCTCCATCGAGCTATCTCGTTCCTTTAATTTAATCCTTCATTAAGGTGACCGAATTATTTATCTTCATCTTCCTCCTCACATTATTTGGCTCAATCGAATTAACTCATTCTTTTAATCCAATAATTAATTGAGCTGATCACATTATTTATCTCCATCGAACGAACTCGTTCCCAATTCAAGCTAACTTGTTTTAATCCTTCATTAGGATGACCGAATTATTTATCTTCAATGAGTAAACTCGTTCTTTTAATTCAATAGTTCATTATGGTGTAGTTTAAAAAGATATGATTTAGTTAAATCATACTTTAACGAAACATAATTTGAAATTCTAATTTTTAATAAAATTATAAAAGATTAAAAATTTTTTTTATAAGACAATAAAAGTGTTTCCTATTTGGTTTATATTATGAATACCATAGGTAAAATCGTATCGCAGGAGACTTGACTTTTTTTAAATTGCTCATTGTATAAAAAATATTTTACTTTAAAAATTTAGTTCTATAGTGAACATACAACTGAATTACTAAAATTCAGAATTTTTAATTAAAAGAAAACTACTTAGTACAATAATAATGAACTAGTTCCCTACCTGTTTCAAAGGAACTGGATCTCTAGGCAGATTTTAAAATAAAATAATATTAAACCAAATACTCATAATAAAAAAAAATTGAATAAATTCGTATATAGTATATATATACCTATATATATCATATATTTTTATCATATATATGGAATTATAATTATAACCTAAAATATCGTAATCTAATCCTCAAGCAATAATATATTATGGTATATAGAATATTAAATTATTTTTATGTATAATAATAATATTTTAAAAAAACTTTAAATTTAAATGAAAAGCTTTAAAATAAAACCTACATATAATAACAAAATTAAAAAAGCATGTCTTAAAAACTAATACTTCATATTCCAAGTGACGTTGCTCATACATATCTTAAACGTTTCTGCATTTGTATATATATTTATTTTATATATATATTATACTAATCAATATACTAATATTAATCAAGTTTCATAGTGGTGACCAAGAAAAAAAAAAGAAACAAATTAATTACTCAAAATGTACTAATTTTTATGGTAAAAGATTGAATTTTGTATCTAACCGTTTGCAATATCTTGTATCTCAACTCACTCATATCACCAAAGTCGCTACTATGTAACACAAACTGAAACTAATTCTATTAAAACTCTATTAACTTTCATTAAAGCATAGGATCATTTCTTGGGGCAAATTATCTTTTTATCTTTTTTTTTTTTTTAATTATTATTTTTCTGTTTAAAGTGCCTTTCCTCTTATATCAAAAATTTCAATATTCATTTACCCTTTCGTAATTATAAAAATGTCTTAAGGATATTTATATATATAGATTTATATATATATGTAAAACAATATGTAGGTGACTTGAATAGCGAAGTTTCGACCCTAACCCTAGTCAAAATTAGAACTTTTTTTAATTTAAAATATAATCCTTTTTTAATCATCCAGCTTTTCTCGGTCAGGGCCATCCCTAAAGCTCTCTATTATTAAGCCAGTAAGACACAGTTGCTAAAATGAGAATAAATGATAACTTCTTTACATCTCTCTTTTATTAAAATCAATCGTACGCTACCAAGAGGCTATTACTGAAATGAAAGTAAATAATAAATTGACGGAGTAATGTCAGAATGGATATATAAAAACTTCCTAACCAAGGTCTTATTTTTTTTGAGACCGCTGGGTGCATAACCTACCGTAACGAATGAACTAGTAAAATTAAATAATTTCGGTCTGAGTTTACAAATTTGTTTTCAACATTTTCTTTGATATTGTTACTGTTTAGTTAATTCTAGGTCCTTAAGAAGGATGCACTTACAAGTCTAGCAAATACACAGTATAAACTTTCTTGGCATTAATTCCAATTTCAGTACCGTTTTCCACAAACAAAGACCATTTCCTTTTATTACAAAGACCATTTTTGTACAACATTATGTTATGGTATATAATCCACTTTGCATCGTCTATTGCTGAATGCTTGAAAGTTTCAATTTGCTCCTTTCAACAGGGACTAGCAGATGCAAATTTTATCTAATAAAATGTGAATTTTATGCGAATGGTCTAAAACAGTATTTTGGTTAATCTTCATTTTCTTACTTACTTACTTACTGAATGCAGTCCTCTTCTCTCAGTGTAGCATAGTACCAAAATGGCCCTTAGTGATCTATTAGCAGTGATCTATTAATAGTTTTACTTTTCTTGAGCTGTGTCTATAAGTCCTACAATTTTTTGATGATGAGCAATCACCACATCCAAATTTTTCAGAAATAAGTGTGAACACCATTTCGTCGCAATTAATTGCAAGAAAATAGTGTATTTCTTTGCTCTTTAGAATTTAGTATAGTATTTAACATTGCTTGATACTCTTAAGCACCCTGGTGTTGACGTGTGTGAGAGCGTACGCTCGCATAAGGTTTTAATATGTTTATATGTTTATTTACTGATATTTACTTTTAAAAATATCCTTAAGACTTTATATATATATAAAAAAAAAATCCTTTAGAAAATATTGTCTCTTAAACTATCTCCAAATGGTTTAAAAGTTTTAATTATAAATCATTTTTCATTTGTTTTGTTTTATTTATATTAATTTCAAATATTTGGAAAAGAAAAAAGCAAAAGCTATGTGTTCCTAATTTTGTATTCATTGGTCGGTGCTTGTGTGGTCTCTCGTCTCTATTTGGTGCCACAACAGGACCTCATGACACTCGACATACACCAACAAGCGTACATACTCAAATACATGTGAACTATTATTTCCTATTTTAAAGTCTAGCACTTAAGCAATGAGAAACAATAATTAATTTAAGTTTAAATATAAAATATACATAATATAGTAATAAAGACTTTTTTATATAAACTGGGTGGAGAAATTTGCAAGTTATTAATATGATTTACTTTTCACTTTCACCACAAGTCAGATATATATATATATATATATATATATTATAAATACAGCAAACATTAATGAAATACATTGAAATTGGCTTTTAGTGAATATGATTTCATTCTTGTGATACAACCAATATTTTTACTGTAAATTTTTATAAATACAGGAACTCAAAAAATAAAAAAAATACAAAAAAATGTACAAATTGTTATCATCTGTGTACATTTTGAATTATATATTTGTGCATTTGGATACACACATTACACAAAACATCAAATGACATTTACACTTGTCTATTAGTATAAAAAATACTAAATTTACACTAAAGTAATACACACACACGCCCTACACTCATGTGAATGCAGATAACATAACCTACTTGCGTAATGTCATATAATGTCAGTTTTTCTACTATACCAGCAATGAAAACTGTGATACAGTCAAAACTCGTTTTTACAAACACGGATGTTTCTTTATTCGACGCTGTGCAGTGTTCAGGTGTTTGGTTGGCAGAATTTGTAAATATTGATTGCAATTGCTTAAGAATTATTTATTTAATTATTATATTATATATGAAAATTATACAGACTATGTTTGTTAAACGAGTTTTTACTGTAATCTAAAGCAAAAACAACAGCATTTACTTATTCCCCGTTCTACTTAAAAACATTTCTAATTTAACTTTCACAGTGTAAACAAGGTAATTAACTGCATTATTAATATTAATTATTAAATATTTTATAAAGAATTAAGAAGCATTTAATAAAATATGTATAACATTATTAGAAGTCGGTAATGAATTTACGATCGACATATATAAATGTGGCTAACCATTTTGCACTATTATTATTTTGCTAATTTATTGCTAATTGCAGCTTCATATTAAAATAATTTATGTTCTAATCATAATCATATATACAATATAATCCAAATAAGGTATTTTTATTTAAGTTGCCGTTAATGCAATAAATCAAATGAAAAATTATAGAAAAAAAACCCATCTATAACCAAATGAAAAAAAAAAAAAATAAAACTCTTTAAAATATAAATATTAAATGTGGAATACAAATATATGAGTTAAAATTTCCACTTAAATATATAACATATTTACTTTTATAATAAAATGCTTCTAAGCCCGAAATTACATTGATGGGTTAATTTTTCGATTTTTAGATTTGTCTATGTAGCAAACTTGAAAAGATATAATCATATTCTCCTTCCCTTCTGCTCTTCTATTAGAAGTCCGTTTCAAAAGACTAGTTACCACTTGTGAAAAATAGATCAGTGAACTTCACTTTTGAGAGATAATGCCTCACAACATTACATTGTGACACCACATATGGAAGCATAAAAAAAAAAACAAATGGAGAATATAACAGCGAATCATAAAAAAAAGCAAAAAATAAACTGTGCAAATTTTAAATAAAATTAATAATTATTAAATTAATTGCATTAATATAATTTCAAATATATTCAACTTTATACTTTTGATATTATGCCATTTTTTCTTTTTTATTTAATTCCACCGTTCGTTAATTGACTCTCCTTAGTGTAAACACTTGTGCAATTAACGCTAATTGATGTCCGCAATATTTAAAATATAAACATAATATTAAACTGCTTAAAAAATCGATTTCTATATTATATTGTTTACGTCACATTTGGTGTAATAAGTAAAAGTTTAATAAAATAACAACAGAAAATAAATTGCACACACTATTGAGTCTTACTCCATCGTCACAATGTCAAAAAATGTCTAAAATATAGACGCGAAAATTTCAACTTAAATAAAAAATACCGTCTTTCTTTTCATACCTCAATAATTAAATAAGTTAATACATACACATGAATTTAGTTCTTAATATGCTTGAAGACAGGTTGTGATATAAGAAAATAATAACGACAACAGTTGTAGCTGTGGGTCAGAGGTGAAAAATAAAAGTGTTCCTATCTGCTTTGTCAGTACCCAACACTTGTCAAAAGGTACACATCTCCTTTAGGGTTTTCGTTTCTAAAATGTCTGTCCGTTATTACTAACAGACATTATCTATCTGCTCCACTAAAGCAATAAAGTGATTTCTTGTATAGTCACCTCCTGAAAGTGTTAGCATGCTTTTATATTTATATGCATATATATCTATGTAATGGGTCCAAATCTTAGGCCAATTCTCTAGAATTTTAATTTTAAGCGGCAAATTATTTAAGTCAGAAGTATCGTATTCTGAATCATGCCATAAATTATAAAATGCAATGGTTAGCTCGTTTAAATTGGAACACAAGTGTTTTGAAGAATATGAATGCAAAAGTCATCAAAGGCGGCCTTAACATTGAGTAAGGTCAACCATAGATATACCATTACAAAAAGTATGGTTTAACTTTTCATAATAAAAAAAAAAGTACAAATATAGTTGATTAGCACTTTTTAATACTTCATATCTTAATTTTATTTAGAAGTCAAATCTTACTCCTGAAGTACTATTAACTACTTATAATATTATAGTATTAATTATTAATATTAATTACTTACAATTCTGTATAGTCTTTACTTATGAATGAACCAACTTTAAGTACTGTTCGAGTTTAATCTAAACACAAGATTTGAATTAATGATAAACGATATTTCATCACTATTACATGATTCAAGTATGTCTCCAGTTCAAATAGATATGCATTATATAAATAATCATCTCAACAAGAAAATGTCAACTCTTTCAAGTAGTAAAGGACCTTTCTGGTCATAATGTCTTTGAGTGAACGGTTTTAATCAGTTCTAGAAACTCCTGCCTTCTTTTGATATCATTCTCATATAAATCATTCCCATATATATACCCTCATTTCTAGATATGCCTCTGAGGTTGACCACACAAATAGTATAAAAAATCTCCTATAGTCACAGTGCTCTGCTTTATAGAAAGACCAGAACCGTGTTATAATACAGCTAGTATAATATAACTAAATACTGTTATCTGTTCTAATCTCTTTTATTCTAATATAATTTATAGGTTTGCAATGATAAATTTTAAATAATATACCTACTACACATATAAAATATACACCTACAGTATTAAACATTATAAATGTAAAAAACATTTGTTTTTCCAATATTACTTTTGGACATTATGATATATATAGTATTGAAAAGACTTCAGAAAACGCTATTTATTTCATATGACTATAAAATTGTATGTGAAATATATCTTCTACAGAATATTAAAGTCCATTCCTTATATATATATAAGCACTACCCGCACGTTTAATAGCGCACAAAATCATCATTAACATTACTTAAATGTCATACCGAACTACAGCATTAAACTTTAAGTGTATCACCGCTTTATCGCACCCTGTATTCGTACTGTTAGGGAATTGTAATTTTCGTCGTAAATTTACTTAAAAAGCCAATTAAAAATCGATTACATTAAATTAAATGCAAAAACGAAACGAAAACAAACCAAAAATCAAAGAAGTAGAATTTGTTCCTGTTCTGTCGATTGTCATGTTCCTCTAGCTGTGTTAGTTTTATACCTTAAACAGTGCTTGCATTTGATGCCCAAGGAGATGATGAAGAGAGCTCTCTACCACATTTGGATCATGGTTTTTCATCGAAACTACCCCCTGGTTACTTAACACATGGTCTGCCAACTGTAAAAGATGTTGCACCGGCTATAACACCCTTAGAACAGAAAAAAGAACAAGAGGAAAAGAAAGAAAGTGAGTTTTCATTAAATTTAAGGAATTGACTCTGTCACTCATATGGAAACATATATAATAAATTTCAGTTAAGGAACTGTCAGAAGAACAAAAACAAATGATCATATTATCCGGAGACTTCCAAAGGTTTGTATTACGTGCAGGGCGCGTTATTGAGCGTGCACTCTCTGAAAATGTAGATATTTATATGGACTATATTGGTGGTGGTGATAATGAGGATGGAAATGATGAGCGTTCTCATGCACGACTCTCTCTGAATCGTGTATTCTATGATGATCGCTGGTCGAAAAATCGTTGCATCACATCTATGGACTGGTCAACTCACTTTCCTGAGCTAGTAGTAGCATCTTATCATAATAATGAAGTACGTATATTTACATTTAAGATGAGTAAAGTATTTATTTTATATATTTTATATATATTTTAAATTTAGGAAAGTCCCAATGAGCCTGATGGTGTTGTTATGGTTTGGAATACTAAATTCAAGAAACATACTCCTGAAGATATTTTCCATTGTCAAAGTGCTGTCATGTCTACCTGTTTCGCCAAATTTAATCCTAATTTAATACTCGGTGGCACATATTCTGGACAGATAGTTTTGTGGGATAATCGTGTACAGAAACGTACACCAATTCAACGCACACCCCTTAGTGCTACTGCGCACACACATCCGGTATATTGTTTACAAATGGTCGGCACACAAAATGCTCATAATGTTATATCAATATCGTCGGATGGAAAATTATGTTCCTGGAGTTTGGATATGTTATCGCAACCACAGGATACTTTAGAGTTACAACAGAGGCAATCGAAAGCCATTGCTATTACATGTATGGCATTTCCAGCTACTGAGATTAATAGTTTAGTTATGGGCAGTGAAGATGGTTACGTTTATTCGGGTATGTATCGAATAAATTTATTATTCAGTTTGATTTTATTTATTTATTTATTTTTTGTTGTTGTTATTTTCTTAAAGCTTCACGTCATGGCATACGTTCTGGTGTTAATGAAGTATATGAAAAGCATTTAGGACCAGTTACGGGCATTTCTACGCATTATAATCAATCCTCTCCTGATTTTAGTCATCTGTTCCTAACTTCTTCGATTGACTGGACAATTAAACTGTGGTCATTAAAGGTAACAAGTTCTTATAGAATGCAATAGAATTGAGTATAAATTGAGTATAAATAGTATTGAATATAAATTATAAGGATTCGTATAGCAAAGAAAAGACAAGAACAAAAATTTAACTAATTTGTTAATTAATTGAAATTTATTTGCCAAGTATTTGGCAATGCTCGAAACAGCGACTAAATTTTTGTTCTTGTCTTTTCTTTGTTGTTCGAATTCTTCTAACTTATAAAAATAGCTTATTTGTTGTCATAAAAAGCGTAGCTTTCGGCAAAAATAATTAATAATAAAAAATTGAATATAAATAGAATAGAAATAGAATTGAATAGAAATAGAATACAAACAGAATAGAATGCTATTAATTTGAATGGAATTATTTGAATTGAATTGAATTAAATTAATTTAATTTGAAATTAATGAAGTAGAGTAGAATCGAATAAAATGAAATATAATACAGTATTATTTAATAATTTTAAAATTATAGAAAAACAGAATATTTGGGGAGTTGATGAGGTCTATTTTTAATAATTATGGTCAAAATATAGCTTCTAAAAAATACTAGGAATATCTTAATTGCAATTAAGATATTGCTAATATCTTAATTTGTATAGAAATTAAATAGAAAGCTTAAAGTAAACCAATTCTAAGTCTCTTACATCAATATTTAATTTGTAATTCTATCTCATTATGAAGTATTTATTTTAAAAGTTATTAAAAAAGTTTAAGCATTTTAGGCTAATAAGTATACCATATATTATAACACCTAAATGAATGTTTATATATTTTATATGTATATTAATATTTCTCTCTTATTAACTTATAGGATACTAAACCACTTTACTCATTCGAAGACAATTCTGATTATGTTATGGATGTTGCTTGGTCACCCATTCATCCGGCTTTGTTCGCTGCTGTTGATGGTAGCGGTCGACTTGATTTATGGAATCTTAATCAAGATACCGAAGTACCCACAGTATCAGTAACTGTCGATGGTGCGCCAGCGCTCAATCGCGTTTCGTGGACTCCATCGGGTCTGCATCTAACTGTAGGCGATGATGCGGGTAAATTATATGTATACGATGTGGCTGAGCACTTGGCGCAACCGTCACGTGATGAATGGTCGCGTTTCAATGATACGCTAAATGAGCTCAAAATGAATCAATCCGATGAAATTTAAATACTTAATTCTTCAATGCGATTAGCATTGCAAGAAATTTGCTTTCATAAAAGACTAAAATACTTTCACCAATCTAATAATATAAATTTACCTAAACATAAACACATGTTAAATAAGTATATAACGTGTATATGTTTTTCTTGCTTTATAAATATTGTAAATTTTTTTATATATAGTTAATAAAAATTTGTTTGTAACTATTCTAAATACTAATATTTCCTTTATTTTCCTTTTTATAGTATTATTTAATAAGTTTAACTTATATTTATATTTAAAAACGTCTTGAACTAATGTCTCAAATTAAAATATTCTTTTTAAATTTTTTTTAATGAATTTTTACTAAATGTTACTTAAAGTGCAGCATATAATAATTTTAAGTTTAATGTTTATAATTATCGGTGAAAGCAATAATGAAATTATAAAAAAATTATATTGTATTTAATTTATGTTTTAAATATGAAAATTATTTAAACGGTATGCGATTTAACTACTGTGAAGGTGAAGTTACTTTTACGTATGAAATATTTTCGCTTGCAGCATGAAAACGAAAAGATTTTGTTATAGAAAAACGAATGTGAATGAAAATAAAAATTGGATATTATATATAAAAAATATTTTATTATATATGTATTAATATATCAGTAAGAAATTATAAAGATATTAACTATATCGATAATAAATCGTAATGTATTATGAAAATCGCATAGCATTTTCTTTTGTATGTTATAGAGTATATTGTGTGAACTGTTCGAATTTATTTAATTTAATACGAGGGCGGTTTGATAAGTCAGTGACTTTTTGAATTTCCCGCGCAGTTACTCCAAATGCAACAGTGCTGCCGTCAGCTATAATCTACCAGTGGGAAACTTTCTAATTTTGAGCAAGCTACGTCGTTCAGTTGGTGTTTGATAGCCGTTCAAAGCAGACAACCTCATGAATTTTTAATAAAATGGCAAAAAGTAAATTACGTGTGCTGATTAAGCATTACTGGCCAAAATCCACGAATTGGGATACGAACTGCTACCCCATCCAGCATATTCTCCAGATTTAGCCCCATGCGACTATTTTCTGTTTCCAAACCTAAAGAAATGGCTGGGCGATAAGAGATTTGAATCGAATGAAGAAGTCATTACCGAAACAAACGCATATTTTGAGAGCTTGGGCAAAACCTATTACTTGGAGGGAATAAGAAAATTAGTATCCTGCAGTTGGACTAAATGTATCCAGCTAAAAGAAGATTATGTGGTGGTCTGGACGCAGATCGAAAATCAACAGAGCGTGGCTTAAAATGCCAACATAAAAGAGACCCTCCTCGAAGTAATGTGAAGGCGGTTCCGAAGGGGAATAAGTCTCGCTGAAGAGGGAGACTAATGTTAGGAAGTCGACCAAACCATTCCAACAAAAAAAAAAGTGATTATGTAGAAAAATAAAAAGTTTATTTTCCGCCCTCGTAATCTTTAGCCTACATTACAATCTCAATCATAGAATAGCCTCTCTAACTGAAAGAGAATAACACGTTTTGAATGAGGAAGCATATACTTGAGTGCAAATAATTTATCACGTCGATAACCAAATAATGGTTAATAGAAAACATTCTCAATGCCTTTTATTAAAGTTCTACAGCGTTCGCGGTTCTTTGCTCTACTGGTAGAATTAGCTAAGAACTCCATCATCCTTAGTATCCTATTCCTTTCACAACAGATTTGCAGGTTGTTGTTGTTGTAGCCAAAGAAATATTGATATTGTAAGGAATACGGAAGAAAGTACAGGTAGGGTTATCACGGAGGAAAAATGTTACCCTTTCGACTGGGGGCACCCATAATTTAATAAAACTATGAGTCGCAATACTCCACTATGTTGTAAACACATAAGGTAAGGAACAGCATAAGATAAAGCAAAACTTCTATAAAAAATATAACTAGAATTCTTATCTCAGCTTAAATCTGGTGGTTATCAAAGCCGTGCTAGTAGCGTTTTTGCCTTAATAGCCGAAAACATAGTTTTCTATAAATATGAACAGACAAATGTATATGAATAGGTCTACTCAACTTATCAATCTATTGTAGGTCTTAAAACTGTCTTTAATTTTTTCTTCACAAATGAGTTATCATAATGCTTCGAGACAAAAGTTCTCAGAATTATTGTTAATGTATCCTAATATGTAATTCATATACAGTTCCATAGAGAAGTAAAAGATGAAATATAGAAATAGAGCACAGATGACCCTAACAATCTGGTTCGCCAAATGATGGATAATCTAATAGGAACTAATCATCGTTGTCATATCATAATCATAGATAAATCTGGCAAGAAAAGTATAAACCCAATGTATTATGAAATCAGTAGATAATTAGAATGTCGGACTGCCTTTCGATCGACAAAAGTTAAGCTCTATAGGTTGCTCATTCTACAAGTACGTCTGTGTGACGCAGAAGCATGAACACTATCACAGAATAATAAAGCTGCACTGAAAGTTTTTGAAAGAAAATTTCTTTGTAAGATCTTTGTTCTTGTATGAGTTGGTGATGACTACCACATCCGAATGTACCACAAAACTATACCAGCTTCATCATAACATTGATTTCATTCAGTAAGTTAAGTTGCTAACTTCACTGGGTTGTTGATCTCGTAAGTATGGATGAAGATGCTTCAGCGAAAAACTTATTTAAAGCGATCATTGTAGAAAGTAGGCGTAGATTGGAACGTTTCTTCAGTGGAGTGATCAAGTTGAGAAAACCCACATTTGGCTTAACGTACGAGATTTTGGAAGGTGCGCACACAGTATTGGCATCTGACTAGAAGTGCTGAGTCAGGCCGACACTCAATAATAGGTTATTGTGAGCAATTAAGTAAGTAGGTAAGTAAATAGGATTGAGCTTATTATATTAAGGACTTGCATAGGGACTATGTTAAAGCTGTTAAATGAACGTTTTTATAAACTTGCTTAATATTAAACTTGTAAATTGTAATTTTAATATAAATTTAAAAAATATATATGTGTATAATGTATTTATATGTATATATATATAATATAAATGTTTATAATATATTTTCGTAACTACAAATCTGCAGTTTGACGGCATATATTTGGACTTAAAAATAGATAATAAGTTTGGCTGCAAATATAAAGCATTCCTTCCCTAATCCAATATTTCCGGTTATCATTTTTGAATAAATTTACATACATACATACATATATATGAGATTATTTCTTTTATCTTTGAACATATTTTAATACCTCAAATTATTTTGACTTAATCATTTTTAATTAAAATCAAGATATTAAAGCTCTATTGGCTCTGCTCTGCTATTGTGTATATGAAAGCTTTTATGCATTAATAATGAAGAAATTCCAGAAGAATTGAACCAAAACAAACTGAAAACAACAACCGAAGAGCAGTTAACGTCAAACGATTGGAGAGCAGACAACGAAAGTTACGGAGCTTGAGTTGCATTTTTGAGATTTTTCGCAATTAAAAGAAAGTTAAGCAGTTTTGGTTGGAAGCGTAGAAAAAAAATAAAAATAAATTAAATTTCATAAAATGGATTACACGGTAAGAAGCCAAATTTAACTCCAAAAATTTTACTTCAAATTAAAATTTGACATTAAATCTGAACGAATAAATTTATTGATTTTATTATTACCTCTTATAAATACGTGTAATGCGTCATCAACGCCACAGCCCGTTCCCACAGTTGTGCCCTCTACACCGTTTGATGTTTCAGCCGATAGTCAAGCTTTGCGCGGTGCGATGAAGGGATTTGGCACCGATGAGCAAGAAATCATTGACATTCTAACCGCGCGCACCAACAGTCAACGACAGCAAATACGTCAGCGCTATGAGGCTGAATTCGAACGCAACCTCATCGATGACTTAAAAAGTGAACTCGGAGGAAAGTTCGAAGATGTCATCGTGGCATTAATGACACCACCAGTCGAATATCTTTGCGAGCAATTACGTGCTGCAATGGATGGTGTTGGCACCAATGAAAGCACTCTGGTTGAAATATTATGTACCAAGTCCAATGAGGAAATGCATGAAATCGTAGCAGCGTATGAAGACAAATATGATCGTCCATTGGCTGAACAAATGTGCAGTGAAACGTCAGGATACTTCCGACGTTTGTTAACGCTGATTATTACTGGTGTGCGTGATCCAATTGGTGTTGTTGATGCTGACAAAGCAAAAAATTTAGCTTCAGAGCTATATGAAGCAGGAGAAGCTAAATTCGGTACTGATGAAGAGGTCTTTAATCGCATTATGGCACATTCCAGTTTTGCGCAATTACGTTTAATTTTTGAAGAATATAAAGAGCTATCGGGGCAGACAATCGAACAGGCTATAAAACATGAAATGGATGGTGAAATGCATGAAGCTATGATGGCCATAGGTGAGTACAAGTGATCTATTTAGAAATCTATTTAGAATTTCTCAAGTAATATAAAAAATCTTCTATTATATATAGTTGAATGTGTACAGTCTCCAGCTGCTTTCTTTGCAAATCGTCTATATAATGCTATGGATGGTATGGGTACTGATGATGAGACGTTGATGCGCATTATCGTATGTCGCTCGGAGATTGATTTGGGTACTATCAAGGATGAATTTGAACGTATCTACAATCGTACACTATTCAGTGCTGTTACTGTAAGTATATATTTTTTCTTTTATTTTTTGAATAAGTGCATTTTTATAGATTTAAATTTTCTTCCATTATTTAATATTTTCATATGTATTGTTGTTGGTGATTGTCACTTTTAATAGGATGTAAGTATTTGAAAAAAATGTATTCTATACTTTAGAACTTTTATTTTTACGATTATGCATATATAGTGCATTATTGACACTTTGATTAATTTGAAAAAGTCGGTATTATCTCATTTTAAAAAATTAAATTAAATAATGTTCTATGAGAAAAATGGAAAGAGATAGGGAAAGAGAAGAAAGAATATTACAGTATTTTTTTAAGTTTTAATATGTATTACAATTTTAACACTATTTAAAAGAAACCTCAACTGATATGCTCTCATTTTAACAACTTTATTAATAACAGTTATAATGACAAAAAAAAGAAAGAGACGAAGAGAGAAGAAAGAATATTACAGTACTTCGAAAATGTCTATGAGAAAAAGAGATGGAAAGAAAAAGACAATTAAGAATATTACAGTACAGTATTATTTTTACTCTTTAATTAATTTAAAGAAGTTGATGTTCTCTCATTTAAAAAACTTAAGAAATGTGTAAAAGAGCGGGAGACACATAGAAAGAATACTACAATACTTTAAAACTGTAAATTGTATAACAGTTTCCATATAGCCCTGTTGTGTTAGGTACCAGTTATTGGGTATAGGGTATACAACAAAATACCCTATAAAACCAGTTTTTGCTATTTTTATACCTTTACCCTTTAAAAGAGGCGTGATAGAACCCAAATATTTATTTAACCCTGCCGTCGGTCTGCTTCAGTTCAAAATAATCCCTCAGTGTTTGAGTTTTAAAATAAAGCTTTGCATACATATTTTTCGGGAGTGGATTTTTATCATATGTCGGATTGGCAGCAATCAGATCACTATATCCTAAGTACAGAAAATGACCCATTGTGATACGACGTATTAAACACTATCCGTACACAAGATCTAAAGAAACACACTAAATGTAAAAACCCCAAATATCTAGTGCGGACATAAGTTTCTATATTTTAAAACTAAGCTGCGCTGTTGAAATAAATTTTTTTTGCAAGATCTATATTTGAAATATCTACCAGTCTCATGAGCTCAAAGTTTTAAAACCTTGGTAAATTTAATGGTTTACTGCAGCACTTTGTGAATTATTGTGAATATTATAAGTAGGATAAATCCTGCAATCCTAAGGTATCCGGTTTTATTTATTTTTTATCTTCCTATGAAAACTTAACAGAAGTTTTGAGTAAGATCTTCTCATGAATAAGTAGTGACTATATGACACAGATCATAGATCTTCTAGTACTATATTGTAGGTTATTTGGCTTATGTTTTTTTAAATTTAATTAGAATTATTTGATTTACAATATTTTAAATTTACAAAATTTTAATTTAATGTTTTTGTTATTGATTTATAGAAGGAATGACTCATTACTAATGAGTAATGGATCGATTACTATACCTACAAAATAAATTTGTATCTATAGTGATTAAATATTAATTTAAATAAAATAAAACAAAATATAAAAAATTAAATTTAAATATTATAAATGCATAATAAAGATTTGCCTTATAAACAAATAATTCTAACCATTTAAAATAAGAGAATACGCAAATTTTAATTTATGTAATCTGAATATAGCAGATTGCCATACAGTTCGCAATAAAAATGCACTATATATGTAAGCAATATTCAATTAACAAAATTATATATATATATGATTGTATATAATAAATTATTTCATGGCATTGAATAATTAATTAATTTTTACACAAATTCATTTAAGCATCTAAATGTTCTAATATTATTTTTTTAATTTGTTTAGTAATAATTTATTTTTTTTCAGTCCGAGACTTCCGGAGACTATAAACGCGTATTAACAGCACTTCTAGGCGGTGCTTAAGTATATATGCAGTTAAGCATGCTAAACGTCTATGGAAAACCTATAGGTTCAGTGGCCTTTACAAATAAAAGAGATCGATTTTAAATAGAAAAATTTTATAAATTTTATGAAATGAAATATACATATATATGCACTGACATTATTAATAGTATTAAGCATTATTTGAAATAATTGCAATTGTTATTTGTTAAAAATAATTAAAAAAAATACAGGAATGGTAAAATGTTCAAAAAACTAAAAAATTGTTTTATATTACATTTCAATAAGAATAACTAAAAATTTTAAATACAAAAATAAACCAAATCACCAAACCTATAAATATGTGTATATATAATATTTCAATATTTTTTAATATTTAACAAACGAGTATTCAATCATAATAAAATAATAAATATAAAAATACTGAATTATAAAAAACTTTATATGTATGTAATATTTGTTATTTGTTACATATTATAATACGGAAAAAAATAATTTTAAATTACAAGGTTAAAATATTTTAAATACTACTCATTTAACACTTTAATTTAAGTGAAAACAAAATTTAAATAATATATAATATGTTTTTATTTTTTTTTTATAGAATTTTGCATTGATTTTGTTTTTATTGAGAGTCATGAATTATATTGCTTTTTTAAAAAGTTTTAATAACTAATTCATTTTATTTAATTCACAAATCTAGGTGTTATTATTTAAAAAATAATTTAGATGATTCTTTCATTTTAATGGGTAAGAAGTTTTCTATTTCGTTTGGTATGGTGTATAATGCTGGTGGTACCTGCAAAGAAAAAATAAAACATAAAATAAATTAATAGATTAATTTATTTATTTTATTAAATAATAGATAATTTTTGTTATTAGAGTTCTCAATAATATAATAATACAAATATATCAGTTTGGGTTTTTAGATAATGTAATTTTAATCGAAAATCAATGGTATTACTATTTATTATTATTGACTGCGTCTGAGTAAAAACGAGGCTACAGATATGAAAATTCGACACGACTTCCTTAACAGCAGACATACTTTCTCTTCAGTTAGGCTTTTTCTTCAGTTAGGCTCTACCCTACACTATTGGAAGCTCAAAACTCTTATGATCTATATATGGGCTTGCACACCAACCACGTAACGGGTTATTGTACTATTATTTTTATTTTAATATTTTTTTAATGTTCATTTCTTTGCCGAAAGTGACTCGTCTTATGACGAAAATAAGCTATTTAAAAGTTATAGAAAGGTTCTAATAGAAATAAAACCAATAATATTAATTACTTACACTTTTGAGTTCATCGTAAGTAGCTTCTCGTTTTGTGTATTCTTTAAATATATAATCATTTTCGATCTCATAATGAAACCGAGTATCATGCATTTTAATAAGTACATCATCGACACGTAAAAAGTGTCTCAATAAAATATAAAATCCTGATGGCATCACACGCTAAAAATAATAAATAAAATTTTATTAAAACGAAATTACCAACTAAAGTAGGGAAACATACAATTTTAACAGAGCATGAGGAAATGCCATGATCATGCAGTTCATCCTCATAAAGCGTTAAATCGTGATAGAAAAGTATTTTTTCACGTTGCATTAGTTTGAACTTATTCAATTGCTGAGTAGTTGGTTCAGTGCGAATTTTTTCATTCATTGTGCCTTGATATGTAGTTGTAAACGTCCAATCAAAAGGTTTAAACTTTTCTTCCATATGACAATTTGGCCTGTTTTCACAAATAAATTTATTAAATATTTTTTTTACTAACTCAGTGACATTACCTGCTTTCCTTCCATTCCTGGGCGCAAGCTACTTGCAGTGGCTGTTTGCCATTATCTACAAACCGTAAGGCTTCCATAGGATTAAAATCTAATAATGCACCATTTTGATGCAATAATGTTAGTCTGTTTTTATGAAAAACCATGTCAGGCAGATGAGGCAGTTCTAACGCATAGCTGTATGTGCATAATTCACATGGATCCTCACGTTCGCAAGTTTTATCTTTTCCATTTTTACACATGCTCTTTAATATGTGTGATTTCTCATATTCTATATTCCAACCTTCAAAGGCAAGGTTTTCCTTATCAACCGGCAAGTTTCTAACGACGATATCCTGAGTGTAAATAGCAAATTCCAATCATTACTCTTTAGATTTTTAACAAAAATTTACACTTACCTCCATCATGCTTGAAGTTTGCTTATTGTATATGAACACAACCAATCACAAAACCTTTATCTTTAATTATACAAAAAAGTATTTGGCAAATTTTGATATTTCAGATATTGACAATTTTGTGCAAAAAACAATTACGATATAAAGTGGTTACAAGGGTTGCCATCATACAATTTTTGTATTAACATAAAAATTTCATTATAAGTTTTGAAAAAAGGATATACTTATTGATAATTCTTTTTAAATTAATATTTAAATCAGTATTATTATAATTTTTTTAAGCTTTTAGTTTGACATTTATTTATACCTACTATTATTTAACATATTATTATATTGTTATATTATATTAAAACATTTCATCGCATTTATACGAATAAATGTATAGTATTTTGTGTTTATTCTAAAAAATCTATATAAAAATGTGTGAGTTAAAAAATTAAAACTCTTTATTTAGAAAATATTGCACAGAAACATTCTAATATAGCAATTATTAACGAGAATTATATATGTAAATAAAAAAAATTAAACCGAGAGTCAAACAGAATTTAAAACAAAAAGAAATTATAAACAAAAATGTGATATATTGCATTCAACAACTTCTATTCATAAATCGATTTTATTTAATAAAAACAGAAAGTGAAAAATATACAATAATGGATACGATTTAACTTCTAAACTTAGCTTCTAAACTACTTAAAAATCGCTTTTTTTAAACTTTTGATCTAGACGCTTCATTTTATAAATCCATTTAATTCGTTAAATAAAAAATGAGAATAGAAAGAAATAAACTGTATTCTTATAATTATATAATTCTTATAATTATATAGGAATAGATAGATAATTATATAGATGTGTTTGGCGGACAATGGTGTATACAAAAATTCAATAAAAATTTAATCAATTGTATTGTTTGATATTATATAAAAATTTAGTTTAGTAATTTTTATAAATTTTTCCATTTATTTATTTTTCTATTTATTTCTATTCGTTTTGAATATGTTGTTTATTTATTTTCTACGATTTTACTTTGAACAAAAAATGTATAGCTGGAATTCCATCAAAATTTAACTAGAAAATAATTTTATTTATTTTTTTTCTTTTGACGTGGCTGTAATATTCCAGATTTTGTTCGACTCGAAATATTTTGAGAATTTTTTTTTTCAACTCTATATATATACACTTATATAGCTAAAATTGTACATTGTATATATAGGCCTTAAAATTATACATTTTTTTGAAATTTACAACAAATAAAACGTTAATACTACGTTTACATTGTAACATTAACAGTAGATTAAATCAAACATCGAGATTAAAGTACTAATCTTTTGTTTAATCACAGATTTCCCATACAAAAGTTAATATCGTATTGATTGAGATTAATTTTAAATCTCCTTAGAAATTGTGATTATTTTTCTGTGCAACATTGCAAATGTCTTAATATCGTAGATTTTTTACGATATTAGAAGAGTTGGAAAAGAAATATCAAAATTTATTGAAAATTGAAAATACCGAAGTGAAGTATTATTAAATTTGTTTAATAATAGTTTTGTACATAATTATAACTAAAATTTGTTTATATTTTTGTTATAAAACCATTTATTCAATTCGTTTTATAAATTTTTTATACATAGTGTAACTGAATGTTTTATTCACAGAAATTAATCAAAAACATGAAACAAAACATAATAAGAGATATGCTAAAGTTATTCTCCAATGTATAATGTAAACGGTAGATAAAAACTGTAGATTAACTTAATCTCGTTCTCTTAGTCTCACAATGTAACTTTAAAATTGAAAATTAATTTTTATGTTTTATTATGCTTGGCTCTTACTTATTAAGTTTTTTCCGCATATAAGATAGATATGAAATTGAACAGAATATTCAATAGGGATAAAAACACAAAATATTCAATTATGTTCTTGTAATATTGAATCTCTGCACAAAAGTTGTGTATCATAGTTCAGATTTAACAAAAAAAATCAGTTTGTATTGAAAACAACCCTGCATTGACAAATATGACATAAAAACATCTGTTCAAGTTTCTTAGCTGTTTATTATTATTTGTCGTTAGTGTATTTTTTTGTGTTCATGATTATATTTTATATTATACTTATTTAGGCTATTCGAAAGCCGTTGAAAAAAATAATTAATATTTTATTTTTGAAAAATATATATAATACCCATAGTGCAATAATGTTGATATTAAGGAAATTAAGGTTAAAGTATATTTTAGAATTACGAAAAGCGGGTAAATATTGTATATTAATAATTTAAAGCATTATAGCCTCACATTATTAATTGTAGTAAGCCTTAAAACACATGCGATCCGCTGTTTATCATCTACTAAACTAACACCTGAGACACAAGTGGCCACTCCACTGATAATTAATGAAACTTATGGACAACCAACATCTACAACACATCCGCATTTAATCAATGAGGGTCAACTAGTTCCTGGCGTTTGTGTGGAAGAGTTTCGAGAACGAAGATCAAGGCTTATGGGTGGTTTACAAAAGTTTGCAAAGGAGAATCCGACAAATGAAAATGAGCCATCTAAAAATCACTTAGTAAGTAAATTTAAAAAAAATATATAATTCTGCAATAACTTTATTATTTTTTTTTATAAAGGTAATAATACCATCAGCCTGTAAGAAGTTTATGAGTGACAAAATACCCTATGTTTTTCGTCAAAATTCTGACTTTTATTATTTGTCTGGATGCTTGGAACCAGACACAGTGTTGATGATAAGCATAAATGAGCAAGCACTAGTGAAATCCACACTATTTATGAGACCAAAAGATAAACATGCCGAACTCTGGGATGGTCCACGAACTGGTATCAATAATGCACTTGATATGTTTGGCGTCGAAGAAGCATATCCATCGAATGAATTCAAAAAAATTCTCAGCAGCCGTTTGAAAGATGAGAAACCCGTACTTTGGTATGATGCAGCACGTGCAGATCTTGTTCAAATAACAAAAGACGTTAATGACTTAACGGAAAATACAATACCAGTTAAGACGCCAGTCGAATTTATACAAAGTATGCGTCTCTTTAAATCAATAGCAGAGCAAGCACTAATGAGACAGACATGTCAAATAGCATCGGAAGCGATAAATGAAGTGATACGTGAAGCACGTCCGGGTCATTCAGAGCATCATATTTTCGCTATGGTTGATTATAAATGTAGAATGCGTAATGCCAACTATTTAGCATATCCGCCGGTTGTTGCGAGCGGTAATAACGCAACCACTATTCATTATATAAATAATACACAATTAACAAAGAGTGGTGATCTTGTATTACTCGATGCTGGCTGCGAATATGGTGGTTATACTAGTGATATAACGCGCACTTGGCCAATTAATGGAACATTTAGAGATGAACAAAAAGTCCTATATGAAGTGCTGCAACAAATTCAAAAGGAACTTATAGGTATATTGAGTTAAATGTAATTTATTTTGGTGGTCTCTTTTATCGTACTTTTACTTACTCATTACACTTATAAATAAGTTAAGCATATCGTTAATTTTAATTAAATAAGATTATTAAATTATATTTAGTAAATTATATTTAAAGTTTTAAGAATTATTAAAACCAGTTTTAACTATATTACGCTAGCTAAAAACTACAGCAACACAGTTTCCTGCACTTTAATGTTTATAAATAATTTAAGTCATTTTAACATTCCAAAAATTTTAATTAATTAAGACAGTAGTTTTTATTTAAATTTTAAATAATTATTAAAAAAGTTTTATCTATATATTGTTAGCTAAAAACTAGGACAATATATTTTCCCGCACCTCAATGGGACCCATGTTCTAATTTGAATTGCATATGCTAGGATCAAATAGATTGCTGTAACTCGGATACTTATATTGTTATTGATTCCTTGCGGTCAGTATAATTCTGACAGAAATACGAGCGCATACAGAGACCAATTCAAGGAACGGGGGTTTGAAAACTTTTCATATAAAGACATTTTTTGAATAATTCATTATATGTAGTTTAAAATAGTCTGAAATATTTAAAGGTGGGTTTCAACCGCTGCAGGGAAAGTCTTAGTTTTACTTGTCTATTGCCAAAGTGTGGCCCAAAATGTAAGCGCATTCTATCTTAGAACTGATCTATATTAGAAAATATATTTAATTATAATATATTGATGTATGGCAATAATCTGTAACTGTTTGCTCTTATAGCATGACATAACTAACTATAAAAAAAAATTAATATTATTTAATTCCGCTTAATTTCTTTTATAATAAATATAAAAACAATATTCTTATAATACTTAGTTATAGATTTGCAAATGTATATTTATATTTTTACTTTATATATACATTCATGAGCATATATTAATAAGAAATATATTTTCTATATGATTTTAGCAACAATACAAAATGAAGGTGGCGAAACGTTAGACAATTTATTTGAGCTTATGTGTATAAAAATGGGAAAATACATGCAAGAAATCGGTCTTATACCGAAATATATAAGCACAAGTGATGAATTAGCGAAAGTAAGTATCTTTTCATATATAAATTAACTTCAGCATTTCATCATAATTCTAAATACTTATTAGGAAGGATATAAATTCTGTCCACATCATGTATCCCATTACCTAGGTATGGATGTTCATGATACACCATTAATGCCACGTACATTACGTATATTACCTGGCATGGTGTTCACAATTGAACCTGGAATATATATTGCACATGATCGAATTGATGTACCAAAAGAGTTCCGTGGCATTGGTCTACGTATTGAAGATGACGTACTCATAACTGCAAATAAGAGCGTTGAAGTCTTAACAAGTAGTTGTATTAAAGATCGATCCGATATTGAATTATTGTTTAAAGCCAAATCCTAATATGTAAAAAAGAGATAATGATTGTGTTCATAAAAAAAATAATTCAACACAAAATGAAATATTTTGCAAAATAAAAAAATATATTCACATAGCAATAAACTGCGTTTACACTATGTTTAATCTTATATTACTAGGTTTATATAAAAATAAATTAAAGTAAATTTTAGTAACAAATAACAAACTTCACTTAAATAAAATTAAAACTACGTTAATTCAGTTTCTCTGGCATTAATTCCATTTCTATGTACATAGACTTCTACGTCACCCGTAAAAATCACTAGTTAGCAAAAATACATTAAAATATATAATAATTTTGTTTCATTAATTTACAAAAATAATATATAATTTTATAAAAAAATATATAAATAATATATTTACATTTTAAAGACATAATACATTGTCATACTGTCAAATTGCCGTATTACAAAGACAATTTACATATTAATTTTATATTATATTTGCTTGTAATTAATTTTTATATAAACATTAGGAAAATAATATATAATATTTTTATTTTAATTTATAATAAAAGATTATTTTGATAATATTTTAACATTTATAAAAAGGACATAACAATTGTAAACTTATTGTGCTATAAAAATATAACTAGTTGTAATATATAATATATATATATGTTCTCTATTTATCCTCTATGTTTTCTATTTATATTTGTATTAAGATATATCCAAATCTGGTATATATATAATTATATTTAGATCATGTATACTCATTAAAAGATTAATATACAATAAAATAGACATCGGAGCATATAAACCACATTTTATAAGTTCGTCTATATAAATTGTGTAATTCTAACCACAAAATTAAATTAAAACAAACTATTAAATTAAATTAAACTATTTAATTAAATTAAAATAATTATACATTAATAATTAATTCAAAATATAAATAAATTGTATATATAATAACTCGGTATTATTATTGAGGAGGCAATAGGAGGCTTCGTTTTTCAATTGAAATTAAAATTCAAACTATATTAATTAAACTATAATTTTGAACAAAATTAATTAAATAATTTTTATTAAACGGTTAATTTTAAATGCATCAAGTAAGGAATTAATTTCATTTAAGTTAATTCAATAATTAATAGTAATTAAGCAACACATTTTAAATAAATTAAACAACTAATTTTAATTAAACTAATTAAAGTACTAATTTTATTTAAATTAATAAAACAATTATTTCTTTTTTATTAAATCTATTTGAAATAGGATTTTTAGTATTCGAAAATCAAATTAACTTTGCAATATAATCCAAAAAAATTAGATAAATAAATTTTAATTAAACAATTAATTTTATAGAATGTTTTACATTATTTATATATTTTTTAATATATTTTAAGCTTATATATAAGTTAGTTATTATAACCTATTCTATTTTAAGTTTTAATTAATTTTATATAAAATCTGCTGAATATTTTTTGTTTCCAATGAAGAAAGCCATACGCGTCAGTGCATCAGGATTTGTATTTATATATGTCTCTGATGGGTGAACTATTTGACTCACAATAGCTGAAATATTAATAAATTATTAAGAATATTTTAGGTTTATCATAATGAATGAGAATAGCATGTCAATTTTAAATAAAACAAAAACTATAAAAAGAAATTTAGTTTACTTACAATCTTCGATAACTTCATATTCAGAGAAAATATCAATTTCTCGTACTTTCGTATTAGATAAGTATATACACTTCATATCGCTTAGAATTTCTAATAAAAACATAAGATCAACTGGATACATATGGGGGAAACGGGCAAGTATATCAGTCACGAAGCAGCCACTCCGCACTAAACACTCTGCCAATATAGATCCTATCCATTTATCTAAAACACGACGATTTAAGGAACCATTTAAGCGTATCCAAGGCTGAGGTCTCATTGCAATTGTATCCCTAAAAATACAATAATAAAGTTTTTTGAATATAAGACCTTTAAAAATAAATAATAAATATTTACTTAGTGATATAAGTCTTTGCAGTTTGAACTGTTGATTGCATATCAAATGGCTGAACTGGTTTCGGTAACCGCTTACTGCTGCTTGGTTGCATTTGTGAGGTATCTGAAGAAGTTTCCTCATTCTCAGTGGTTTTCTGTTTTTTATTTGAACCACTATCACCGCTGTCAAATTCGTCATTTTCTTCTGTTCGAGGACGTTTCAATACTTTTGTTGTATTTGTATCACCCAACTTTTCACGATCCAATCGTTTAATATGAAACGTAAGTACTAACCAGTCGCGAATATGTGTCTTATGTACGTAGACAAATGTTGAGATTCCGACTCTTTTAATCAAATAGAAATCACTTAGTATTTTGAGAGCGCGGTACAGTAATTGTTGATCAGGAAATTTTTGCTTTAATTAATAAGTAATAACATGATATATTATAATACAACAATAAAATTGCAATATGAATACATATATTTTATTATTTTTTATAATTAAACCAACAATTCAAAAATTATAAGCTATTTAATAAAAACGTTATAATTTAATATAAATTTCTACACCTTGGAGTTACGGGTAAGGGTAACTTTACACTTCTATAAAAACGGGTCTAGAAGTCTCGTCACAGCTTATTTTAAACCTCTTTATGACTATCTAAATTTGATATCTGCTACATATATACAAATATGTCGAGATCTCTATTAAATACTTAACTCACCATTAAAGCAGATACAGTCACACCCAGTTTTTCTGTTTCAATGAAATCATGAATATCCTTTAAATAATTTTTATCCAGCTCATTAAAGTTCTCTTCATTTAAAGTTGATAATAGCATTTGAAATGTATTTTCTGTGTACTTCCAATGTGATTCACTATAAGTATAAACAATTATATCCATTTAAAAATTACTGTTAGATCTACGTTGGAAATTAAAAGAACACAATATATAATAATCAGTACATAAATTCGACACTGCAATAATAATGCAATATTAATAATATAATAATAAAAAAAATATTATACATTAAATAATTAATTCAAAATATAAATAAATTGTCTGTCGAAACAGCTGTATGGTCAGCCAAAAATTCAATTAATTAAAATAATATAAAATGAATTTTTGTTATTGTAGTTCACTACTGTTCGAAAAAACCTCTTTATAAAAATATTATAAAATAAAGTATCATTATATTATAATAAAATAATATATTACTTATTAATAAAATAATGCTTTTTTAATAAAATAAAGCAATAAAAATAATGCAATAATCATAGTTTAATTATAACAATAATAAAATAATTATAATTTAAATTTAATAATACAATAATAATATTGCAATAATAATAATAATAACATAATGTTAATACAATAAAAATTTAATAGTAGTATAATTACATATTATCATAATAATATAATAAAGAAATTATAAATAGATTTCATAATAAAATAATAATATTGCAATAAATATAATAAAATAATAATAATACAATAATAATACAATAATAATAATACAATAATAATAATATAATAATAATAATACAATAATAATTATACAATAATAATGATGCAATACTAATACAATAACCAGATTTAGACTGAGTATATGGACATTATAGATTTTTAGTAGACATATAATATATAAAATATAATTAAAGCCTTTGCCAAAATATGAATGTAGTACAGCCAGACCAATGAACCTAACCTAATCCTCTAACTAGAATATTAACTAGAATACTTATTCTTAATATATTATTGAATGTCTTTACTAAATGAAGTTGACTATTTTCTTTTAATTTCATATAAAGATACTAACTTTATAACTTTTTGAAGTATGTTCTCACGTTCGACTTCAGTTTCCAGCATAACTTTAGGTATCATCAACTGATTATGCTTTACCGTATATGTTGTAGTTTGAAATTCTGGATTAAGATAAAATTGCAAAGCAGGCAAGTTAACTACAAAGACATCTTGTGCTCGCAGTATACGCTCTTCCTTATTTAAGATCGGTTCAAGTTCATTGATTTGATTTGAATCAAATTCGACAACACTGAATTCTAAAATATTACGACATATCTGAACCCAATCGATTGTTTTAATTCTCTTTACACTATCCTGTAGTTTGCCCAAATCTTTGAGTTCAGCTTTTTGTTCCCTTTCTCGCCAGAATGATTCTAATAAACGCACCAGCGTTAAGAGATTGGCCGGTTGCACAGTTACAGAACAGCCACTTGCGGCAAGATTAAGTAATTTCTGTGCCGGCATTTCGCTTAGTTCATCTAAAACGTAAGCTTTTTCATTAACAATGGATACGATTGCATCAACGTAGTTAGTGCCATTCATAATACAATTGAATGGACATTCAATTATAACCATATTATTCTCTTCATTCTCATGACATAACTTGCTAAAATTGATATCAACTTTTTTATCCAAATGCCGCAAGGCACAAAAGAAATGCATATATCGTGCAGGTAGTTTGGCAATTTCATCGTAGGGTGAATAATGTATTTTATAACTTAAATTAGCGGGATGAAACTTAATGCGTATCTAAAATAAAGTAAAGTTTTGATTTTACAAATAACACAGATTAATAAGCTTTATTGCTTACCCGCTTTTCAGTGGTTTCATTTTCAATATTCTTTGCATATTCAGTTTTGGGTGCATTATCGAAGATGGTATGGTAGTGGGCAAATATTCGATCTATGGATGATACATTCTGTGCCTGTTGTGTATCGACCGTTAATATGTTAATCGGTAGTTTTATTTGTGATTTCCAATAGTTCTTTGCAAGACCTTCGGCAATGAAAAATAAATGTCCCAAATTTGGAGTCTTCAACTCCAAGTAGCGCTTTGCATCTTTCCCACTCTCTACTTTAAAGAACGTTGTCAATGCATTCTCAAAGTAAGCATATAATATGTCATAAACGTTGTACGGAATTTTAAGATATGTTAAGCGAAATCTATATTTAGAGGAGAGCAAATACGCTGGACCAGCCAGCTGATCAGGTATCAATTGTAAGTGTTTACGCTTCACAGCTACGACAAGTGTATCAGCACGAGCTTTCGAAAAAGCGGCATTTAAAACTTCTTCCGAATAATTTTTGTAAATTTCAAAGGCTTGCATATTGTATAAGGTTTTATCTTTGGCGCAGCACATAGCACTGTGTAGAACACCGACAACGACTGACACTTGCAAGTCGAATACTTTGTTTGGATTATAATTTTGTATGGTTAAAATATTGCTGGTTGTTATGCGCTCACTGAATTTAGCGCTAAATTCTTCAATAGTGTCAGGAATTAAAAACGTGTAACAGTCAATAGCATTAGTGTTTTTGACTAATTTATATAAAAAGTTCAAGATTAAAACAAAATGTATGACCAGCGCATCGCAGAATTCATTCCGAATCGGATATGTATCCTTGAGTTTTTGTAAAAAATTATCGCCATACTTGTTCTGCATGTACTCATTCGATTGCAGCAAGTTGAGCCAAGCTGGTACTTCTGGCAAATGACGACCCATTTTCACAAGGAACTGCGTACGTCGTAGGCATGCCTTCATTGTTTTATTGTTACTACCAATTGTGTGCCGCAATACATCCCGACAAATTTTGGCCACTGTTAGCAATTCTAACGCTGGTACAGGTGCCGCAACATATAAATACACGGCGCGTGCAATCTTTAACATATTATCTTCTTCGATTGACCATGATACGCGTAGTGTACGCATATTCTTAAGCGCGTCACGATCAATCGCATCTCGTGGACCAGATTTCTTGGCTGATATTGCCTTAGCGAGTATACCATGCTGCAGACGCCTAATAGGAGGCATAATCAGCCGATTTCTCAATGGTCTATGCCTAGCCAGTTTTCCACGCAATAAAACTGGACAATTGCGTTGAGTATTTTTTTCATTTGAAATAGTGCTTGTGTTCACAACCCATGACCAATTACGAAATGTGTGTGCAAATAAATTAGCTGATAGACCAGCGGCGCCTAAATTATCACCTGGTATTGTGCCGTCATCTTTCTTTGGTGCTTCATATGTATCAACTGGGTCCAGAAATGTAAGTTCTCTTATTCTACCCGGTCTTTCAAATGTACCACGGCGAAAGCCGAGTTTAGTGTAAATGCATATGCGATGTAAATTCGTCCAATACTGATTCACATCATCAGATGTGTTAAACTCAAAGCGCATCGTGTCGTAAGAACGATTAGGGTTAATACGAAAATAACTTGGTTCAGAAGTCGTCGTCTCCAATATATGTGCATGCCGATTAAGATACACCCACATTATTAAGGGATCTTTCACATTCAAACGTTCACCAATCTGTATTAGACCCATATGGTTCAGTAGTTTCAAAACCATTATGTACAGCTTTTGCAAGAGTATGCAACTGATTTGTTGTTGTAGATCTGGTGAGAGTTGTCGCAGTAGATAATGCTGTCTGACAGGGTGTGACAAATATGGCGTTAAAGTTTCATCAACCTCCGGTTCAAAGCAAAAGATTTTCTGCAACAACGACAAGGGAATACGATCTATGGCATCCATTAAATATACCCAACCAAAGGGTTTATCGGTGTATTTCGGTAATGGCGGTATAAAAGTTCGCCAACTTATTTGTTTTGTGTATGCAATCTGATTTTCTTCATTTGCGAGTTGTTCCATGAATTCTTTAACTTGTAAATTTGGTTCAGTTATCTGCCATTCCTGTAATAAAGCAGTGCTAATTGGATATTGTGGCGTGGAATCATTTAATTCGACAATTATATAAAATAGAAATTCATGCATATAGCGCGAAATAAGAAACTTCGGTGGCTTATGGGAGCGGTTTTCCTTTACTTTTACTTTTTTCACTCTTGGAGGTTTTTTAGTCAATTTAAGCTGAGCTTTTCTTTTCTTCTTTGCTTTAATTTCTGCTTGCAATCTACGCTCTTCAATCACGAGATGTAAGTTATTTTTTAATTTAAGTACTTCTCGCTTAAGCATTTCATGTTCTATATCGATTTTGGGATGTGTAGCATAGCGATATGTACGTATATATTCCTCGAACTGGACAGTTATTTCGTATATATTTAAAATTTTGTTTTTTTGCAATTGATGTAGTATACGAGCTACAGATTTGAAACATACTTCATCCGCGTAATTTTGTTCTTTCTCATAACGTTGGATTTCATAACGCAAAGCATATACCGGTATTATACAATTTTTATTTATGCATTTCACAATAGTTGCTTTGCGGAATACTTGCTTATACGTAGATAAATCTCGTGTGTTGTTTTTTATGACATATTCAAATGGCTTGATGCTTGAAGAAATAGATATTATATCCGTCATGGTAATAACGTTTTCGTTGTTAGGTATATTCTGTAAAAAACAAGTGAATATTCATTATATATATTAATTATATATAAATATATTAATTAAATATATATATTAATATATATTTAACTATATATATATTAATTAAATAGTATGGTAGCTTTATAATACTTACTGGCTCTTCAGAACATTGTAGATTATCTAAAATCATCTTAGACTCAACATCGTTTTTACTCACTGTTTCAGAATGCTCTATGGCAACATACCTAATATAAAAAATAAATAAATTCATTTCTTATTTAATATAATTCCGTATTTAACAGTTAAGTATTTAATTCTTCTTAAAATAAGAAACTATTCACATACATGTATATACGTTGACGTCCGACATCGGTACAATAGCTTTTAATATAGCCATCAGCTTCCATTTTTTTAACAATTTGACGAGTAGTTAAATGATTTAAGCCTATATAATCGCAAATTTCACTTTGACTGCAACCACGAGCACCGTGTCGCGCAACAGCTCTATAAAATTGTTCTTTAATCGGCATATCAACAAAAATATGCGAGTTATCGACAAATTTATCTGAACAGAAAAAGAAAACGTTTTAATTATTACTACTCGATATACAATTTATATATATATATATATATATATATATACACTTTATACTTTGAACATGTCTCTGATTTTAAATGATAATAAACTATATTTTTTAGCAATAAAAACTTACCAACGCATTCTTCTTTTTCTGTTTCCTGTTCATCTTTGTAAAGATTATCAAGATTTATGTCTGGATTTCGAAGTTTTATCGTAAGTACATAACGACCTTTTGAACCATCAGTTGATGTTTTACGTGTACTCTTATAGTATTCAGCATATGGCACAGACTAAAAAATCAAATATAAAAAAAATATTAACAAGCTAATAATATAATTAAACTTTATACTTACTATAGTCTCAAAAATCTGCCGAAATGGATGCGTCATTGTCATTTTACGAAATGATTTGTGACGTTCTACTGAAGGAAAATGACGATGTGCGTCTATCATCGAAATTCTATTATTAGGTAGATCTTTACAAAGTTCTGCTACTTTCTCAATTACTGTATAAAGCATGCTTTTACGTGTCTTATGAAAACGTGGTAATGTCACTAATGTTGTGACTATTAAACGATCATTGACTTTTTCATTAAAGAGTTGTGTAGCTATAACATCAGCACGAAGTAGCTTATTCCTAAGTAAAATTAAAATATTAATTTAATTAATTTTTTATATTTTAAACATGAAACAATTTACTTAATATAGAATACAATTGTAGGATCTTTACAAAAATTAAGTAAAGAAAAGCTTCCAGATGTGGTTTCACCATTATGGCGTGATCGCCCAATTGCTTCCCAAATGCAGTATTGTACGGCAGTAAGATCTTTTGGATATTGTACGTTTAGTGGTGTTAAAGCACTATAACGTAACTCTTGATTTCCAACTATAACGAATTTATCACCCCACCTAAAATAACATTTCCAGCAAAATTACTATATAAAACTATACAAATGTAAAGGGAAATATTCACATTATGCTAACAAATCCAGAAATACTCACTTATTTATAACATCCGTGACGTTTAAGTCTGCAATTTTATTGTTAGGTATAGGCTTACGCTCATTGAAATATTCGCATGAACCCAAACATTCTTTGGTTTGTATAGGATTAAATTTATATCTCACTAATGGACAGACTTCCTAAATATTAAAAAATTTATATTTTAATTTGAATATTTTTTCTTTCTTTACGCTTACTTTAACTAAAGGTACTCCTAAACACGGATCCAGATCAGCAAAACGGTCATAAAGTTTAATCGGCGGCCGCTCTACAGGTAATTCGTAAAATAACAAATTTCTAGAATTTTTAATACAGTCCCATATTTGCTCTTGACAGTCACTATTAAATGGATATGGTAGTTTTAAGGCTTCAGATAAATATAACCAAAGTGCTAGAAAAATAAGTTTATGGTTATATTTGTTTAAAAAAAATTTATAAAAATTACATGCAAGTGTTACGCCTTCCAGGCCCTCTAAAGCAATTTCCTCTAAAATAATTCGAGATATAGACATAGTTGCAGATATCAGCAATATTCGGTCTAATTTAAATTTTAAATCACTCCATAAATGTAAATAATATTTTATTTTAGTACTATTGAATTCGTTTACGCCGATATTGTTTAAAATCATAAACATGAACTTAAACAGCTGATAATGTTTACCTTACGCAGAGTTGCATTTTACTGAATAACAAACATTATAAAACTGAAACGATTTTTGATGTAATAATATATGGATAAGTATTTGCTATATACGAGATAACAGAATACTAATGAATGCTTTGAATGTGTAGTTTATAAATAGTTTTTTTTACTTTATTAGTTTAAATATATCATATAATACAGCGTTTACATTGTGATTAAAAGTAGATTAAAATAATCATTGAAATTAAATTACTAATATAGAAATGGTAATTTTCTTGAAAATATGAAAATACCGAAATGAGTAAATTTTTAATAAATTTGTTTAATAATATTTTTGCATATAAACTTAACTAGAATTTGTGAAATTATTGTTATAAAACTATTTATTAAATTTATGTTACAATTTTTTTATACAAAATTGTTATTAAATGCTTTATTTACAGAAATTTATCAAATATACGAACCAAAACATTATAGAAGAAACATCAAAATTAATTTCGAATGTATAATGTAAACGGTGTAGATAAAATATGCATATTAACTTAACCTCGTTCTCTTAATCTCACTGTGTAAACGTATTAATTTTAATGTTAACTCAGAAATAAATAAATATAAAATAATATAATGTACTATAAAAATTTAACATACATATGTGTTGCATATACCCAAGCAATATGCCAACAGATTCATTTATGAAAAGTGCGACTACGACCTAATGTAGCGCAAATTATTTTTAATTCCACAAATTCGCTGGCATTGTTGCAAAAATTTTGACATTTCGTTCGTTTGGTACGATATTTGCCAAATGACATTATATTGTTTATATTACTTTTAGAATACGTTGAGCAAAATCCATTTCGATTAATAATAAATTCAGTAATTAGTTTGTTTAATAACAATAAAAATGAGTGCTGGTACAGAATTGAACGATAAAGTACTTGCGACAAAAAATGCATTAATAGCCGCGGTTAGCGATAATGTTTGGGCGAAGTATACGAGCAATATGAAAATGTGGTTCCGTCACAAATGGACAAAGGAAGAATTCGACACAGAATCAAGAAAATTTTTCACACCTGAACAAATGCATTTACACAATCGATTTTTCTTAGCAATGCTTAATAAAATGGATGCTTATCAAATGCCACCACCTCCGCCGCCGTCAATGGGCACACAGCAGCAACAACAAACTGGTGCCAATACATCGACTTCAAGTAGTAGTAGCAAGAGTCGTAAACGAAAACGAAGTTCCCGTGATCGTTTTGGTTTTGAGCAACAAGATATTTTAGATTTCATTAAAACTAATAATACAGAAACTCTACGTCCGCCTTCGGGCACTGAAGCCAATTTACAAATGTGGCCAACACAGCGTTATTGTCGCCAGGAAATGTTCTTGCCTGATCCGGCATTTATGCTTGGCCGTTTAATGATTGGTGCATGGGAAGTAGGTCTTGTTAATGTAGATGACAACGTCGCCGAATGTATGATAAATGCTATACAAATATTTTTAAAGAATCTTCTTTCTGGTATTATAATGAAACTGAAGCATTATAAATCAACGGCAGATGGTTCCTTTTACTATGATGTGGGTGCAACGTTACGAGACCCATCATTGCGTAACACTGTTACTCGGCAAAAATTAGATGATACACCTTTGTACCTAGATAAGCGAATTACATCACCTAGTGTTACACAAAGACCGAACGATGATGTGGTATTCTTAGCAGCTTGTGAAGAAGTGTATGTGAATTCATTTCTTACTCAGTTTGTTTTATTTATAACAGATTTCCTTTTGTATTTTTAGTACGCCGCCGAGAACTACATTGATTACGTTAAGAGAACTGCAAATTGCTTTGAAAGATCGCAATCTCATTGGCTCTCATTCAATATATTCAATAAATATGGAAAGAATCACACAAATGTTGCATTGAAAAACAAAAGAATATTGGAGTGCTTGTGATTTGTATATGAAAGGATATTTGCATGTTGTTACTTTCGTGGCACATTGATTGGAATCTATAAAAATAGTTTTAAAATCTCTTTTCCTACTTCTTAATTGACTTTAGTTGAAAGTAGGCATAAACTAATTTATATTTTTTGTAATTTGAATCCATAAAACATATGTTTAAATTGCTTTTCCCATTTTTTAACTGGATTCAGTTTAAAGTAGGCATAATCTAGTTTATATTTTGTTTTAATTTGAATCCATAAAAAAGTTTTTAAATCACTTTTCCTACTTTTTAATAGACTTTAGTTAAAAGTACCCATAATCTTAATTAAGTTTTAATTTTAGCTTTTAGTAATTGTTAAATCTAACATGTTTAGTTGGTAAATATTATGTTAAAAAAAAAAATTGATGTCTAATTAAAAAATCAGTTGTAAATTTATTTCACGTGCATTTATTATAAAAATTAAGATTTTTTTAATAATTTATAGTTTCGAGAATATTGGCTTTTCTCCTTTCGTTAATTGAGCACTGGCCGCATTTACAAAGTCCTCAGATTGTAAATATAATTTATTCATTTCACGCTATTAACAAGAAGAATTTATTAATAAAATACGAATCTTACAAACTTCAGTAAAAACTTACGATTTGATCCAATCCATCTTGATTTGGTCTACTCTGTGAGTAAACTACATTTGCTTTTGTAGCTTGCACAGCTATCGGACTTTTCTCGGCTATATTGTTCGCCAATTCTAAAGCGCTCTGTAACATATGATCTTTGTCTGGAAATACTTTGCTAACGAGCCCACAACTGTTTGCTTCACTGCTCTCAAAACGTCTGCCTGTGTAACATAACTCACGCGCTAAGGATTGGCTGCCAATTGCCTTTGGAAAACGTTGTAAACTACCCACATCAGCTGCCATACCAATGTCGACTTCTTTCACTTGGAAAAATGCATCCGTCGTGCAGTAACGTATATCGGCTGCAGTTATTAAATCAACGCCAGCACCAATGCAAGCTGAATGGACTGCAACTATGACAGGTTTTGGACAATTTTCCAATGCACTCATGGATTCCTGCGAAAAAAATCAATTAGTATAATATATAAAAACACAATAATTTAATTAAACATACTTGATATAATTTAATTGTACGACCTAGAATCATTCCTTTACGTGCTACGTCATCTACATCACTCATTTCAGTTCCCAAACTAATCACATCAGTCAAATCAATGCCTAGAAGATTTTTCAATTGTAAAATCTTTCAACTTTTATTTTTTTTGCTTGAGCTATACCTGCAGTAAAATGTTTTCCAGCTCCAGATACGACAATTGCACGGCAATCGGGGTTGACAGCCAACTCGTCAAAGCAGTTCTTAATTTCACTTTAATTTAATTTAATTAGATTTAAAAAAATATTATTTGATATAAAGAAAAATTATATTATTTACTGACATCCACATTTCCTTGCTGAAGGCATTGTACCGTTTGGGTCTGTGCAGCTCTACATGGAAGACAAATGGTTTCGGTGTAGTTATTTGCAAGGTCTTGAAACTATTGTGATGTTTCACCTTTGCTTGCGCGGCAGAGCATAAATTACGTATAAGCACATTACTTGGCATAGCCATTTTTGTAACTGAAAGTAAACTCTCGTCTTTTTAATAATAATCCACAAATGAAGCAATAATTGTTTTTATAAAATCATTTGGATAATATATTTGAACTTTGGACTTCACTATGTGTAACTAATACTTTTTAATATAATTAATAAACAACAATTGTTTAATAATTACATACCTAAGAGTCGAGTTGTTAACATTTTTTTTCTTTAACTTTATCAATAAAATATATTAATTTTTAAAAAATTTCAAAAAACTTATATTAATTGCAACCGGTAAACAATGTCCGTGTTGTACTGCGAGCTGCAACAGTTTAATTGTGGAATTTATTGATCGTATTTTTGGTACACAAAAGAAGTATACATACAAAACAAAACAATGGAACTTAATTTTATCTAAGATAAAATATTATACATTAATTTTTGTGTATATTGATCAGGTATGAAAATGTTATTATTTCTTGTGAGAATATTTAAAAAATATTAAATTATTTGCAAAATATTTTTTATATTAACTTAAATTGGTAGAAAATTTCATTTTGTACGAAAAATTATTAGAGATTTGCGATTACAACCATGTACAAAGTCCGAAAAAGTGGAATCTAACCTTTTACACTTGTTATTGGAATTGCATTAAGCAAGTAATATAGCAAAAATTAGTTATGCAAATAAGGAAAAGATATATTATAAAACAATACGTTCTAGTTAATAAGTATAACACAAAAAAATTAAAAAATTATAAATTAAAATAAGTATATTGCTTAAATTATATTGATAATAATACTGCTTAAAGGTAATTATTGTATTTAATTTCATAATAAAGTAGTGAAAAAAATATAAAAATGTTAGTATGATGTTATAATTATAAACTTTCAGCTGATGCACCTCATGCAGTTCAAATTCGCATCGATTTGCTTAAACCTCTAATGTTTATTTGTTTATTTGTTTATATTTTTTTGATATCAAGAGGTAGATGAAGATGAAGCATAACAAATTTTAGTATTATAATTGTTGAGATAATGTACTGAAATATTAAGAAATATTAATAAGGAATAGCATTATGACTAGAAAATATCGTTTGAGCTAACAATTGATTTTAACAGAATAAAAGGCATCAAGGTTTTTGATTGAATGTTCCCTACAATGAGACGTTTTTAACATCAAGTAGCAGTTAGGAACTTCGTCTTAAAAATCTTTTTTCTGATACAGAGAAAAAACCGTACGGTAATAAAGAATATAACAATAGATTACTAGGGTCACAGTGTTAAGTTTTCCTGTAGGTTCGAAATTCTTTCATGTTCTTTTTATGACATTCTAAACAATCCATGAAGTAATTATATATAGCAACTAGATAACCCGACAAACGTTGTTTTGCCTTATAAATTATTTCTAGTTTCTAGATAAATTCTAGTGTAGAAAAAAAGTAACCTACTTATTATAAGTGTGTAAGTATGAACGAAAAGGAAAATAAAAATAACAAACTCCAAACAATATTATTTTTAAGTTATTATAGTTTATTTATTAAATTATTAATTTAAAATCAATAGATTTGTATGATACCAAGTTCCCTGGCAACAACTGTTGTATCTTCAAATTTAAATTGTCTTGGATTGACTGTAAATAATAATAATGATAATGGGCCAGTAACATTAACCAACAACAGTCGAAGATAAAAGCACTCAGTGTGTCTTGGATTAACTATAAATAAGCGTTCGATTTAAATAAATTGAGACATGCATCAACTGGTGAAACTTGCTTGCGGGGCATCCATTTTTTTGTTTAAGGCCATGTGAAATAGCGTGGTACTTGTGAATAGAGTAATGTTTTTGCAAAGGCACCAAAATCATCCGTACTATTAAACAATTCAAAAAATGCAGTGAGTGCAGATTTAGGTGGATTTGTACCACGATCAATCACTGTCTCGTTCGTGAAAAATACACGCTGACCATTTTCAAGATGGACGGCTACCTGAACAGCTGCTGGATCCCGTTCATGAATTAGAAAGCCGAAGATACGCCAAGCAGCTTCATTGGAGCTGTAATTTCACCGTTTTTGTTCATTGGAGGAGCATTTACATTAGTAAATTTTCTACTCTAAACACAGCCATATCACCGCCTTTATGGACATACTTGTATATTTGATGCTCTTCACAGAACTGCAAAACTCAACATTAATATAAGCATTGTATGTCTTGCTTAGCAGAGGCGAATACGTTACCACCCGCCATTGTCCCCCATTATCGGGATTTCTTCGACGATATATTGGATATCCGTCGGTATTTGTTATAGTATCATTAGTGAAATCTTTAGAAAAATTTTTAGTACATTTTCCATCTGCCATGCAAGCCGAAGACGAAGAACGAAGTCGATGTAAATGCTCGATGTACTTGTTGGCGTAGTTACATAAAATATTAAGAAAAAAATTTTTCTTTTTCAAAAACATAAACAAAATTTATGTCAAAAAAATAAAAATTTTTTTGTTAAGCAATAAGGATATTTTTGCTGGGTAGGGACTCCCTAATCACTTTCGCGGTATGAAAAATAGATAGTAGCCGATTCTCAGACCTACTAAATACGCATATAAAATTTGGTAAAAATCGGTAAAGCCGTTTCGGAGGAGTACGGTAACTAACATTGTGACATGGAAATTTTATATATAAGACCGCAAACAGGCATCGTTTGGCCTTGTGACTTATTGATGGTCTTTGCAAATGCCAATCTAATAGGAAATTGAACGCGTTTGAATTAAATTAGCTTGTCTGTGAGAATCATTGGAATTCGTGGCAATAAAACTTTTTCGTTTCGGAACTTGCCATTCAAAATGGTGGCTTCGATAATGTTTTTCATCAATTTTTTGATTACCAATCGCGTACTATTGTACTATTGTATTGTATGTGTACATCTGGAAATACGCGGTCAATGAGAGCATTTTGGGAATCAACGATAGTGCGGAAATTAGGGGGCAGTTTTATGAATTCAGTATTTTCATAGACAACAACTTTTCATATCATAGCAAGTTTTCTTATTCAAAAATGTAAAAAAATGTATGTCAAAAAAATAAAAAAATTTTTGTTAAAGCAATAAAGATATTTTTGCTGGATAGGGACACCCTAATCACTTTAGCGGTATGAAAAATAGATAGTAGCCGATTCTCAAACCTACTGAATACGCATATAAAATTTGGTAAAAATCGGTAAAGCCGTTTCGGAGGAGTACGGTAACTAACATTTTGACAATGTTAATTTTATATATAAGATA